AAGGAGTCATGTATTTAAATTAAGATACTCAATATTTCATTTTAACTGCCATGAGCAAAGCTCATCACGATTCTCACAGCCACGAAGATCCAATTCTCGAAAAATGGAGATGAGGACATACCTCTAACTGATGATTCGGATTATCGCCTAACAATCGATGCTCGAAATAGACTTGATCGGTTGCAGGCCCAGGTTTGTAGTGTGCGAGGCAGTCTTAAACCAACTTGCAAGTCTCCTTATGAAGAAAACTCAACCTGCCTGTTTTGTTTGTCTGGTTGTTTAATGAATCCTTTCATAACGTTCTAGAACTCTCATGGAGGTCTGACATCCTGACAGTATTCAGTTGGTACACTCCCAGACAGTAAATATTGCTTATCGCACGATCTTATTGACTAGCTCGATGGTGCATAACTTCCACGTTTTGAAAATTCAGTTCAAGCATCAGCGAGTTCAGTTTAAACCTTCAACAAGATGCTTGGACAATAGCGTATTCTAAAGAATAGATTCTGAGATGAGGGCAGGCTGCATTCACTCACGGCCGTTCATCACTGGAGCCGGAACCAAGGGAAAGTCAGCGGAGAGAAGATAAAGTCTCGGTTGAGCCGAATTATTGTCGATAGAACACTGGTCAATTGCTGATGCTCGATAACCATTAAGAACATTTTAAAAATGCCCGAATTGATTTTTTCAATACCGTAATGCGTCTGAAAAAGCTCGTTTTAACGTATGGTAGTCACGTATGATAATTACCCCAGTCAGAGATTATTAAACAGCTCGGTCACTGCGTTACGTTAAGAACACGTTTATACTATATTGATAAAAAATGATTGGCATTTGATGTAAATGCTGATTTAAAACTTTTGTTCCTTAAAAACCCTTACTCTTTTTTTGTTTTTTAATTTCCAATAGTAAAACGTTTCTCGTCCTAACAGTCTACATTATATTTAATGCATGCAAGCGACTCATGGGCAGCTAGGTGGCAAGACCCAAGTGATCTTGATAGAATGAAACAGTGTTGCTAAACTGATTTGCATCGGTTTCGGTTCCAAGTTTTAATTCAAAATAAACCTCGTGATTCACTTTCAAATTTGAGGTAGCAAATACACCGTTAGCTTTATGTTCCACCCGTTCACTGAAAAGGAAATAAATCTACCCAGGGAAAGTATTGTGATGTGTGATGTCAGAAAAGGAGAAAGGTTTAGTAGTGCACTCAGTCCTAATATTGAAAAAGAGCTAATGACTAATTACTAGATACCTGGCATTATTTAATGGCAGTCTGCGGTCATCAACAAATTAGCAATTTCATTCGGTACAGGTCTAGGCCTTTTTGCCCCCCACGATATTAAATTAGCGGATTTTATTCGCAACCACACGACAAATTAAATTACCACTTACGCCATGGGGTATAAATGGCATTTTGAAACAAACAGATACACAGACTGAAAGAGTTTTACTGGGATGATTTCTTTCGGTGATACTTTTTTTTGTTAAGTTTTTCCGAAGATTTTTTTCAAAGCAGCATTTGTTACCTTACTAAACCCAAGCAAAGCCACTGATCATAGGTGAAGCTATTTGATAGAAATATAAAATAATTTCCTCCAAAGCAATGTATTATTTCACATAAAATTCAGTCTTGATGGAATAAACCTAGATTACTGTCTTATTGGGTATAAAGATGGAAATGTTTGTATAAAAATAATTTCTACTCACAAGAAGCGGCCAGGATACACTGTGAAGTAGTACAGGACCCGCGCTGCTGCTTTCCATTATCACCAATGTATGAAGAGCAGTTTTGCACCAAGCCTGGGTTTAACGTGTTGTAGTTTCGCATTTTTTCTATTGCTAAAAAGGCTATCAAGGCAATGCAGGTTAAAACCAGCAAAACAATAAAAAACGCAAGTACTGAAGTGTTACAGTGTCGTCTAGATTGTTGATCACTTCCCCGCATAATTCTGACCTCGCCGTTGTTTGCATTGCCATGTAGATGAATCTCGTCATGCTTTGCTAAGCGATATCTCGAATCTGCCATTATTTTCTCAAATAACCGCTACAAGTGATGTCGTAATTAAATCTCCTTGAGTATACTGGAAATCTGTCAGTTGCTAGCGGAGTGGACGTCAGTTAGAAGCATAAATTGTAGTAAGTAACGAGTGGTTGGTAGAGGAGTACCACCCATGAACGTGTAAAATGACTATCTTGTTGTGTTGACAGCTGAAAATGTTTCAATCAGCCCTTGATAGATTTGCTTATTTACGATTCACATATTTTGACCATGCTCTTTGTTTGTGGCTTCAAAACAGAAATAGCCTAATAAAGTGTGAAAATGATTTCATTTATGGTCAACTTACTCAATATTTAATGAGGTTGTGTCGGAAAGTCATCTCTGAAAAAGAGAAAATTTAATTTTAGAAAATCGAATGATACGAGTCATTACTTAAGCTACTTAGAAATGTTCAATAAGTGAGACTTTTGTAAGTGGCCGCTATTCAAATAACTCCCTGTGACAGATTAAGACTTGTTATCAGTTTTTCAATTAAATCTGGAAACGCAGATTCCAGTACGTTTGTTATTTACTTCATTTTTTGGAGCCGTCAATATTAGAGTACGATTGTTCGAAGGTGCCACACTTCACAGTTTGGTGATGTTGTACATTTTCTCTACAAAAAGCTAGTTGTATTGTTTTAAGAATGATGAAAGTTGATAACGTTGTTTTGATCTATGCTGTTTCCCTAAATGTTTGAAGTAGAATGGAAATATGTTATCACCTCATGATATGTTTCTACAACTTATGTATATTCCTGGTTTTTTGAAAACCGGACTACTAATTAACATGCCAGGCTCTCGCACTGATTGGCAATTTAATGGCCCTTGTTACTTGAAAAGTAAAATCTCACCTCATAAAGAAATTCTTGCATACATGAGCTTCCATTTTATAGAATCGTCTGTCTTGAAGGTAACAAAAGTGAAGCTTTCCTCATTAGTCTGGAAAATAAGGCATTTTAAGGGACAATTTTTAGTGTTGGCGTCACCGATTGCAAAGCCATTTCCCCAGTTCACCCCATTTTTCATTGCAACTGGTCTCCCAAGAACAATCTAAACCAACACTGATCAACAAAACCAAGTCCTACAACCACCAGTTTAACTGCTTGCTGACTTGGAACGTTATCAATAGAGTGTCTGATAAACGACGACAAATAAAGCCTTTTCTGTAATGGGTACGACGACAATAGAAATCAAGTCACATAAAAAATGGGTTCACGTGACTATTGTTCTTTTAAGGAATAAGCAACAATAACTTCCACTTCATCAGATTTTCCGCTAAATCGGAAAGCCCTAATTTTAAATCCAATGGACCATTTTCCATATATTAAAATTCATACTTGGCACCGAGGCTTGGGGGAATAAAACAAAAGAAATGCATCATTAATCATTGCTAAGCCTCAACTGAGATGATTTCAGTTTTGTTTTATTCGCCCAAATCTCGGAACTAAGTAAGAATTTCGATGTATCGAAAATGGTCTATTGCAACGTGACATAATAAGAATTGTTATTTTTTACGGAATTGCCCTGAAACTGATCAGAATTAATTATTTGTTAAGCTCACGCAGCACTCATAGGCATTGAAAGAAGCAACACCACATAACAATGCGGGAGACCCTTTACTGCCGTTACGAGGGTAAAGCACTCCTTTAAGCGTCAGCTTCAAACAACCATGTGGGAACTGCGAGCTGGGGGCCGTACGGCGGTTCTCCCACGGTATGCGCGGGGGGCGATCCCGCACCTATTTGAGAGATTATTTTTGATTAGCTGGGAAAACAATAGGGATTGTCACATAACAATGCCCCTCTCCCTGAAAACAATGGAAGTGCAGATTAAAGGGGACCAGTGAAATAAGAGGTTTAGAACGGTGCAGGTCTAATCTGCGCGGGGCGGGTGGATCAGGAGTTACCCTGATCTTTTTGCCAGTAAATTAATAAAACAAACTTAAAGCAAGGGGTACACAAACACCAACCCGGTCAGTACCTCAGGAGTGCGCACAGCCATATCACCCGGGCAGTGGCAGGACAGAAAAACACCATAGAAACAAAACGGCCGGGAATATCTCCAACATTCTGCGAGAATCGCGATCGCAATGCACCGTGGGAAGCCGTTTCTTTTCGTCTGCATTCCGCCTACTTCGTCTTAAAACCCCTTGCCAACGGGTCGGGTCAGTTTCGTTCTATATGAAACGAAGAAGACTATGCTTTAAATGATTTAAATCAGTGATTAATTGGTAAGCAGCGAGCTCAGAAAGTTATGCAGTTGCCTCATTTTAGAAATTCTGACCAATCCTGCTAAGGTAAAACACAAACAACCTGGTAATATTTTTTGGAAAAAATCCGTTTCCAATTTCTCTCTTCACTAACTATCCTTTCAGGATAGATCCAGATAAAATTTCCCCGTAACAGCCACATTTCCATGAGAAAGAACTATAAAGTTGGCAACAAAAGCTACTAGATATAAAAAAAGAAAGGGAAAGGAGAAAACGAAAACCCAACGCAACGCAACGCAACGAAAGAGAAACATAAAAAAAATCGAAAGGCAAAAAAGAAAAAAGAAAAACAAAATTTTGTCTTATGCAAGTGCGCCAAAAACAAAAAAGCAGCTTCATGCATTACATGTCCAGTTAGCATGAAAATATGCCCTTATTGTTGCAACATCAAAATGTTGCAAATTTCATTTTTAGTCATTTCCTTGCTTATTGTCAGAAAACCGGTTTCAAAAGGAGGAACTTGTACAAATTCGGTTTTTAAGCCATTAAACCAAGATTCTAGTGTTCCACTCCTTGTTTGACCTACAGCGGGTTCAGGTTGCGCGTTTAATGACGTTAGTTATCCCGTTCGTTATCGAAAAATAAAGTATCCGTTAAGCAACTTCACGTTTCCGTCGAGTTTACAAAATATGGAAACACGTTATTTCGTCCTGTGATGTTGACCGTAAGCAAGAGCGGTCTCTCTTATATCCCAGGAAAACCTTTATCCTCTGACCTAAGACATATCATTATTGATAAAATCATTGATGGAGGAGGTGACCCACTAACAATCGTGAGATTTCCCGGTCGATTTATGGATACTGCAAATGAGCTAAACGTTTCATCGGCTACAGTTTCGAAATTTATCTCGTCGACAATTTGATTTTTCTTCACCGTAAGTCGTTCACAATGCGTTCTACGAACTTGCTGTATTCCAGGCTCATAAGCTCTTCTTCGACAATATATACTGGAGTTATTCTTTTTGTAGAATAGTAGGAGTATTCTATCTTGGTTTCAATCGCCATGACACACATATCGATAAGACAACGCGCCTTTTCTCAGACAGAAGGATATTATCCTCGCCTAGCATAGCACTTTCTCAATGCAGCGGACCCGACAATCTCGGAGCCTGGAACAGGCTACGCCTAGCAACGTCTGACAATTTGCCTCGCAACGCAAACAATCAACCGTGATAACGAACGCGATAACTGACGCCATTAAACGCTCAACCTGAATCCGCTATACTCACGCTGTGTCATTTTTTAACATCGATCCAAGCCTTCCTACTATTAGCCAGTGAGATTGTCAAATGTTTCATTGAACGGCTCAATAGGGCGCCTCGCTTTTGCTCCAACAAGTAATACTTCTGGAGACGAACTGCATTAAACAGGGACGAAACAGACCACTTTTAGGTTGTATTTAAACAAGTGCTGGACACGGATTTTCGTTTGTAAAATCACCTCCCACTGAAATTAATGATGTTTCAACCGACAACCGAAAAACACAAAGAGATGCCGGTCTTGGAGTAACGTTTGTTGACGATTGCTTGAAAACTGTCTGACAACACCCTACCAAAATTAGCAATTCTTTCAGAGCCAGGGGAAACGCTTTATGATGTCCCAGAGCCGCGATGAAGAGGTGGAGTGAGTGAGTTATAACGTTTCCAGCTGAAATGGAATCATAATCAAGCTTGAAACCAGATCCCCGGGGTTCTGGAACACCCTCCTTGATTGGCCTTCCCACTTCTCCCAGCCGTGGTTGCCGCGAAACTATGCTATTTTCCCGAGAATTATCATCATCACCACCATCCTCATCCTCATTATCATTATTTAAGCCTCCTCAATTTGTTTTATGTAAAGTTTCATCAAGACCGACATTCTCTTCTGTGCTGACCAGTCCATTTTGCAGAGCTTTTTTGTCGCTCGTTGATGTTAATATAACTTGATTTGGTATGTATTTTTTAAATACTAAATAAATGTATATTTGTAAAAGTACTAATGTATTCAGTGTAGTGTTCATCCGTCATATCCTGTTACTGTCCGGCAGTCACTTCAATTTCTATGTGTTCAAAATTTCCGCTGAAATTGCTTACTTGGTTCCAAGCTTATCAATCCCATCCCCGGACGTTTTCTTAACTTTGCAAGCGAAACTTAAAAGTGACAATGACATTGACGAAACAATATAGACTATAATGGTCTATAATTACTGAGAGGAAGGACGTCTGACCTTGCAAAAGTTTATCAAGACAGGAAAATAAGCGGTCACTATATGACAGCCGCGGAGCTTCCCGTTGCAAGCCTTTCAAGAAGTACAATTTCTCTGATTCAATTCGCAACGCTGCCATTTTTTTTTTTGGAATCCTTTACAGAGGTTGACGGGCTAACGTTGTCGGCTGAAGTTAGTGTTCAGTTCTCAGTATCTATGTGCTCTTGTGTATGTACTTTTTATAGGCCATAAATTAAGACCGTATGAAATTGACTATGACAAATTCCTCACTCCCTGTCAAATCTTTGATGACAAATTCCATTGCCACCGGCATGGTGTTTACACACGACTTATTACTCCCGGAGTACTTGATAAATTCCTAGCGGCAAATGGCCAGGGGATGGGTAACTTGCTATTGACTAAGCCTTATTATTTGATTGACTTACCGTAGTTATTTGATTAAACGGCGCGACATTTATAAAATTTTTAGTGCCAATGCGGCGTTTATTCAAGGGCGGTGTTTATTTCGAAATCATATAAAAAAGGCACCTACCACAGTTAATGTAAATCGTTTGTAAATATTACTTAATTTAAAGGGCGGTCACCAATGTCTCTCTTATTTTCCGGAGATAGAATCGTAAATGTCCGGATGGTGTAAATTACCAAGTTGTACCGAAGTTTTCCTCATTATCTTCGACTAAACGCCGCATTCTTCTGATTAGGTGCGGCGTTTATTCGAGGGCGGCGTTTAATCCAATAAATACGGTAATAGTGATGGTATTGTCTGTTAGATTAGTTGTCATTTTCCTGTAACAAGGTTGTCACGTTCGTTTGCCGCTATTCCTTGGTATGTGCGTATTTGCATAGCATACATAGTGATAGGACAGACGCCGTATCATCCTCATTTTTTCTGCCAATGTCTTTTGAATGCGATCATCCGGAGTGTGAATATTACAATTCTGGCATTATTCCAGTGAGGGTACTTTGTTACCTTGAATTTTCATCATATGGAAAAAAAAAAAGAAAAAACCTAAATAATGAAAAAAAGGAACTTGAACTTTCGGCCTCTTTATGCCACGGGGGGCTGGAGAGAAGAAAAACATTGAAAACTGAAAGCGCAACTAGTATCTGCGGAGGAGAGAAGAAGCCTTAATAAGGAAGTACGAAAATCTCTAATAAAATACTTTTTTAGGCCAAGAGCAAGTAGATAGAATCTCCGGATACGGTCTGTTCAGGAACTGCTCAGACAAGGACAATGTATCCATTGCGTCATACAGGAATGTGTGGAAATAGGAAATTCATGAATTTTCACCCTACTTTTCAGTCATCAAACTAGCAATTTAATCACGTTTACCTATTATTTTCTATAAATCTGTTGTCTATTATGTCATTTGTTGAAATTATCACCAATGAAGAAAGTAGAATGACTTGGCTAACTGAAATGGACTCATTTGATGGGACAACAGAGATTAACAAAAAAAAGAACCGAGGTTTGCTGATTGAAAGGAAAAGCAAACTTTGCTCAAATGTTAAATGTCTGATGCTTCTTATTGTCTTGCTGGTTATATGCTGTCTTATTTTACTGAATCTGTACCTGATCGAGCGCGCCAAAAAAGCCGAAGTAGAGACTCCAGAAGAGCTAGTCAATTCATCACTTGGTGTTCCTAAACAACAAAGACAGTATGGAGGATCGTGTTGGTCAACAGATTGCTTACATGCAACGTCAGGTATGAGTAATTACTTGCGTTTCTGTAGCGCAAAACTTAGCCACTTATGATAAATATGTTTGTTACGTAATAAGAAGCCAAGCTAGTCTTACATCTGCCTAACACTCTTCTAGAAGGATAAAAGGGGGAAAAAGGTTAGTTCTAGTTTTCATCAGCCTGTATCATTTACCACCAAGGTCACTCGAGGCACATGACGTCCTTCTAAGGCTATATTTGGGTTTTGTTTTATGCTTAGAGAATATCTTATCAAGTTCCTTTCGTTTGAAATTTGATTATCGCTAATCCGAGATTAAAAGTTTGCCGAGGAATAGGATATCAAAAATGTTTTCCAAATACGTAACTGGTTCTATTTGACATTACGATAAAAAAAAAATGCAATCGACGCTATTGGAAATAAGACTTGGACATCGTCAAAGACTTTAAGACTTTGGCTATGTTTTGAGAACATTTAAAGAGATATATTATTTGTACTAGCCTGATGAATTTCTTCAGGAGACTTGAGTGGCGATTTGATTCAAATTTTATCTAAAAAAAGATTTAGAGAGAAAAAAATAACAGACCTTTCGAGACCTTCGGTAAGGATCCATTTCTCTTTTGAAATTGCGCAAGACAGTTGTTGGTTAAGAGCTAAAGGTTGGCACTTTGTTGAGCACTATCCATGACCCAGCGCGCGTCCTAATCCCACCCCACAGAAACACTGGAACCATATGACAACAAAGAGAACGCGGGAAGCGTGGCAATCTGTCAAAAGATGGCCGGGAGCTTGAATTGCGTTTGAAATAAATTTTGAATTTGTACTATTTCCGAAAGCTCTTTTGAGACTTAGGTGGACGGATGAGAGACAAATGAAAAGTAGTGATTTGCCTGACGTTGGACTACAGTCGTTTTGGTATTTAAAAGTTGGTTATGGTTGCGTGGTTTGTGTCCCTAAAACAAGTCGACAAGTGAGGAGTGAGCAAGTCTAATTTATAATTATCATAAAAAATCTCCCAGAATCCTTTGAGGCAATTTTCTATTTTATTCGGAGAAGCCTGTCAGACAACAACAAGATAACATTTGCCATAAAATATCTTCCCATGTCACATCTAAGGTAACGACGTCATCAGTCATGTGACTATTTCCGATTTAGGTTTTTTGTTGCTGTGACAAGATTTCATTAACGAGTTAAAAACAAATAACAAATTTGAGGTTTTAGTTGTGTGGGGCATTTAAAAATAACCAGTTGACGTAAGGCATTTAAAATTTAAGGGGGGAGGGGGTAATGAACATGAGCAAAAAAGTCGGGAGACTAGGCCGAGGGCTATAGAGGGCCAACCTTTCATTACATGATCAAAAGAGGGACATGACGTCATCAGTAACGTGATCAAAGCGTTTTAAATGTTTTGGTTCGTTTCTAAAGCACCTTTTTTGTCATAAATTGGCAAGTTTTTGCTGTTTTTCCCAACAATTCTTTACGCTGTTTTGTCTCTGAGTAATTATTATTTCATTAGTCAGAAGTTCAAAAGTTGGGTAAATTGACCGATATTGCAAGTTAAAATCGAAAAGGAGACCTGCTTCTGAGACTTTTGTAAAATCCTTTTACAACTTAACTGTTTGTTTGCCGAAATAAAAGTTCAACATTTGTTAATAAAGGAGAACTTTTAAAGCTAAAAGGATGTATTTGGCGGCCATATTGTTTTCCTCATTCCGGGGAGAGAGGTCATGTACCAGCTCCTCTAGACCTAAAAGCTAACTGGTTTGCTACCCTAACCTAAAAAAATGGAAATAATGATGAACAATGTTGTGTTGATGTTTTCGCTCACAGATTAAAAGACACATTACGAGCTGGGAGAGAATCGTACGGTCATAAGGTTCAGTCGGCAGCTGCGCGATCGATAGTTCATAGTTCATTTCAATAAAAGCAAATGGAATCACTTCTGACTATAGCGGACAACCTTGAACTGTGAGTTGGTCGTATAAAGATGCGGCACCGAAAAAAGACGAAAAAGCTAGCCCTTTTTGATCAAATTATTTTAAGGTTTAAACTCGAAGCTTTATTTAGTGTAAAATAACTATAATTTACTTTTACCGGTATCACTTGTAATAATAACAATAATAATAATAATAAGAATAATGATAATAAAAATAATAATAATAATAATAATAATAATAATAAAAATAATAATACAAGGCAGACGTCTCAGGCATTAAAATGTCTGGAATAGTAATATCTTAAAAAAAGTCTGGAATATCCGTTTTATTGACCCGCTATTCTCATTCCGGAATTGTTAGTGAAATATGTTCCAAGTAGAATGATTGGATTAATTATTATTCATTCAAAATATTCCGCCGTTTCTGTGGCCCCAATCTACCAGCTAATTCTTCATAACCAAGGGGCCCTTACCGTAATATTTGTAAGTTGCGAGCAACTGCATACCTTCCATCAGTTCACGGCTATCCGAAGACGAAATAGCTGAATTTCTGACTAAACGTAAATGGAAGAAATGTAGCAGTACGCAAAACATATTGCATACGTTGCACTTGTCAAAATACAAGAGCCGCACGAGTTGCCATATTTACTCTTTTCGGTTAGCTTGTCACAGAGAGCGTTTTCTCCCTCAATAACAGTCACCATTTAAAGTCATGGATAACACACAAAATTTAATACTTTAATAGTAATGGGAAGATCGTATCAACTATAATGCCTGAGTAGACTGGAGTTTTGGGAGCAAGTTTAAACTAGGGGAGAGATCTAAATTTTCCGTCTATTTTGTCCACTGAGATTGCAGCTTTTCCTCACGTCCAATCCGTAATGATTATACTGTCACAGGCTTCTGTATGGTCCACCTGTATGGTCGATATGAAAAAGAAACTGCAAAAGATCAACGCTTATAGAACTCACCTACTCGATTACATCACGCCTGTTTTTGAAAAATGTATTTATAATCAACTTATATCTTATTTTTCGTCTGAAAATATTATCACTCCTACTCAAAATGGGTTTAAGCCAGGCAGTACCACTGTGGACTGACGTCTTGTTGATCTCATTGAAGAAATCTCTACCTCTCTAGATCAAGGAGATTATGCTGTAAGAATATTTTTAGATTTGAGTAAAGCATACGGTACAGTCAATCATTCGATTTTATATTGTCAAAGCTATCGTTCTATGGCATTCAAAAACCTCATATCGACTGGTTCAAATCGTATCTTAACAAAAGAAAGCAGAGAGGTTTTGTAAATGGTAACATTTCTGACACCATGCCAATTTCTTCTGGTGTACCTCAAGGATCAATTTTAGGACCGTTGTTATTCTTGATATATATAAACGACTTTACTCAATCTTCTGATTTCTTCTCCATGAGACTATATGCAGACGATACCTCTTTAACAGCTTCAGCTAAAAATACAGATGAACTCTTATTAAAGATAAATAAAGAACTACCTAATATTTATGACTGGCTATGTGCAAATAAATTAACCTTAAATCTAAGAAAAACTAAATATCTTATCTTTCAACCTCGTCAGAAAGTAGATTATAATTATTACCTCCGCTATCGATAGCTGGCCAATGACCATTTTGACTATGTTTGTGATAAAGTCAGTAATAGTATTACTATTATGACAAAGATAAAAAGTTATCTAGGAAATCAATGTTTAACTAGTATTGACTATTCTCTTGTTTACCCATATCTCATATATGGTTGCTATTGTGGGGAAATAATTATGATAATCCATTATCACAGCTCATACGTCTACAAAATAAAGCAAGTAGAATAATGAATGACGTTCCTTTACGAGATCATATCACTCCTCATTATGTTCATCTAGATTTATTAAATTTCGTGATATTGTTAAAATTTACAATTGTTTGTTTTTATATGATTTTGTCTCTGATAATAAGCCGTGTAATTTTCCATTATTTCTTGTATCTGAGCAACATAATTATTTTACACGAAGTGCATCTGCTCAGCAATTACACATTCCCCACTCAAGAATTAATATTCGAAAGTTTTGCCCTACCGTCATTGGAAAATACTATTGGAACGATCTCCCCCTTTCTATTCTCAATAAATCATCGAAAATCCTGTTCAAAAAGGCACTTAAAAAATATTATCTTGCTCAATATTGACGGGTGTGCGTGTGTGTGTGCGTGCGCGCGTGTTTGTGTTTTAATGAATAACAAAACTACAAAAGAATAAAGTCAATCTTGTTAAGGGCCATGATTAGTTTTACTATAATGTGCCCTTCTCCATTCTAATTTTCTTCTTTATTATTATTATTATTATTATGTACACGTAGTTTAAGCAACTTTGTACCAATTGGTATTGTACAACTAATGTATTATTGATATTGTACAACTATTGTATTATTGTACAACTAATGTAAAAATAAAATACAAATACAAATACAAAAATACGCCTGTTCCTCATAAACTAAACTCACTGGCCCTCTCCTCCTACACAAACTCATGATCTTTGAGATTCTTCTCTGCCCTCCCAAAGTCTTTTTAAAAAGGTTCCGACAGCCTCTGTTAGCTTTTGCAATCCAGCCAGGCTTCTTCGCCCTCAATTTGTTCAATGGATGGTAGACGTGCATTCAGTTTTTCATCTTCTATGCCTATGGAATAGGATGAACTGCCGCTCGAAATTACTAATATGCCACCTTTAAAACTTTCCTGTTCAATTCTTAGATTATAAAGTTTCTGCTAAAGGTGCACAGACTGTATTGCTATTGCATATTATAATGAATACTAGTGTTTACATCCTTGCATAAGGACATTTTATGCCGTAATAGAGGATGTGAAAAAGTGAAGTGTCTTAAATAATCTATATTGAAAAGTCATTTCCCCTTCTTAGCTGTTTAGGTGGAGCCACACTGCAACTATTCATGACCGCAGTCGGTAGGTTTCAAAAGATCATAGTTTGCGTTTCAAAAAAGGGAACTTAAAAAAAGGCGTTTTATAGCCACGGAAAGCCTTCTTTGTAAGTGGTTTTGCCCAAATTTTTAAATCGTCTCTAGTATAAAAGAGGAGTCAGACACCCATGATTAAATTTGTTTCTCGCTCAGTAATGAGAATTTCTTAATGGTTTGAAATGGCTTGTACTTGTTTCTTTTGTTTCTTCAACGATGTTCATTGAAGTGAATTTTTCTGCAGATCTGCTGAATTCTATTGACCCATCTGCCGCCGACCCTTGCCAAGATTTCTACCAGTACGCATGCGGTGGATGGATGAAGAAAAATCCTCTGCCCCCTGGGGTTAGTAGGTGGGATCAGTTTATAAAGCTGACAGCTGAAAATAACAAACTCATTGAAATGCTTCTTGAAAATAAGGAATTAAAAGCAGTTTACTCCAGGGTAAGCAATGTTTAGCTTGTTTTTCTAGCACTTAATCATTGATGATAACAGCATAACACGATGTTTCTTTTCACCTTTGAACTTTTTGTGCAGAAAATCATACTTCGTGTTGCGACAAATAACTATTAATTTTATATTGCGTTCGACAATATGAGAGAGCAACCTAAACCGGCTCAACGCGCGAGAAGAATTCAGCAAAAAAAAAAAAAAAAAAAAAACAAGACTTTTGGGGTTTGGGACGAAAACCCAAAAAAAAAAAACCCAACACCCCCACCGTTTAGTAAAATCGAATACCCCCTTGGAAAAAGGAGTTTTTAAAAAGGGAAGAGGGGAGAGGGGGGGAGAAAGGGAAGAGGGCCGGGTGGGGAAAGAATAAAAAAAAAGGAGGGGGCGCACACCATAAAAAAAAAAAACCACTATTATTTGGGCGTGGCCCAAATAGAGTAATGGAAACGGCTTGTTTTGACGCAAATGTGCAATAGGCACGCAATACGTGCTAACGTAAACAAGGCAAGTAAACAAGCGAAGCGAGGCGAATGTCATGGCATGGCATGAATGGCATGTGGGAAAGAAAGCTCTGCTAACACACGGCACTTTATCGCACTTTTACGATCTCAAAAGTTAATTTGAATCTTTAGTATTTTTGCCTCATCGAAATTTGGAATTCTGAAGTCCATGGATGAAATATATCAAAAATATTTGGAATATTAACGTCCGGTTTTGGTCACAATAAGATCACAAGCAACGAACCTTGAAACACAGAAACTCACAAAACGGATCGAAATCCACCAATCACAAATCACAAACAATGACCTTTTGAACCCGTTAAAGGAAACTTTCGTTTCCTCAGAGGTCCGCTAAGATGATTGACGTCTGACATTTTTTTGACGAGAGGATCGAAATGCACCAATCATAGAAAGACAGTTTTAATTGCCTGTTTCCTAAGAGGTCATCTGAATTTGCTGTTTTCTTTATTTTATGTTCATTTTCTTTTCCTTATTTTGTGATTGGTCGATTTTGTTAGGTCGAGTGGATAATCCAATGAGGGACGATTTGGATATCGTTTGATCCGAAATTTTTCGAAGCAGCAGTAAGAAACAGTTTGGATAACATTTGGCCGCGACGTTTCGAGGATCGTGTTAATATAATGTTCTATCATGTTATCCCGGGAAAAACTTACAAATGCACACACTGTTCGCGGTAGGCCCACACTAAAAAATAACACTGAGTGTTTTCGGAATGGACTGGTCCGCGAACTCAAAGGAAAACAAAGGAAATTATCAAGACATTCAATGACATCAAAGACTCATGGACCCCGTAGACGTAATAACAAGTCGGAATATCAGGAGTGTACGTGTAAAATGGATAAGAGTTTGAATAGAGGAATGTTTAACAAGTTTGAGAGTCGCAAGATTCGTGTAGCTGGTTATCAGTGTGACACTAGTGATTTTAATTTTTGCATTGCGGAGCACAACGAGTTGCCTGTGATAAAAATCTGTTCCGATGAAGGAAGAGACGATTGTCAACAATTGAAAACTAAAAGGGACTGAGGCTTCTTTTGGAACCACTGTGATAACTGCAACAATTCTTTTTATTATTTCAATTTCGTTTAGCAGGGTGACGGTTAATGTACTTGTTTTTGTATTGCGTGTTGTGTTTTTTCATCTAATATTGTGACGCGGTACATGTACGATGCTGTGCTTCGGGATTTTGCATTATCAGCAAGTTTTGTGTTAGAGTGTTTTGATGGCAGCGAGGTGACGACAACAGAAGGTAATGAGCTAGTTGTACAGAAGGAAAATTGTGTTGTGGAGGAAATAAAAGAGGTCGAATTGAGATCTCGTCGTGGGAAATTTAGTTATAACAGAACTTACAATTCCATTGGTTTAAATCAGGTTAGTCAATTATATTTTCGGCAAGACAGATTACCATAAAATCGAGATTGTAATTCGAAACTCGCGTTGTTTTCAAAATTTGCATAAATCGGGCGCTGTAAAGAAATATTAGGTTACAAGCGCTTCGAAATACTGTACCTTCAAAACGGCTTAGCTTTTACTTGTTGTGCTATATCTTTCAAAACCATCGATCAATTCTAGCTCAAAAATTCTCAAAGCGGCGGTTTAAATGTTAAAGCCCGTGGCCAGTTGAAATCGTCTCTTGTTTGTTTTCAAAAGATTTAGGATGGATCAAATAATCGACTTTGGATCGATTATTATTTTATCAGCTTGTGGTATGAACGAAACGTTTTTTTTCTCGATAAAGTTCACTCAACAAATTTCGAAAGATTTACTTGACTTTTCATGTGTGAAACGAACTGACATTTTTGTGGAAAGAACTGACTGTTTTATGGAACCATCTAACCATGGAACGAAATGATCGGTTTTACCGTCCTGCACCCCCCGGGGGAGTACTTTAGGAATTTCTGGGTGGGGATGTGCCGCTGGGACGCTGGAACCCTTAACCTATACTAGAGCTAGTTAAGCTGAATTTTGCTACCCTATACTAGAGTAAACTCCCAAATCCCCCCTATCCTAGAGTAGCTGTTTCCCTAGTCTAGACAAAATCTTCACCCAACTGATCAGTTTCCTGAAAAATGATACCCTATTCTAGACCCAAACGCTCTGATTTATATACCCTATCCTAGAGTAAACTGCTTGAAAACCATACCCTCCACAGCGGCACATACCTATATGGCCCATATGTGGCAGTGCCCCCCCCCCCCGGGCCTGCACCTAGCAGACTACCGATTAGTCTCCCTCATCTCATATTGACCAAAGTGGTCATGGAATGTCCCTATATTCGTGGCGGTTATCATGAACCCATTACCCGTTTTTCCCCCTTTGGGGGAGTGTGCGTGACATCCAAAAAACGGCTGCGAGGGAGACTAACTACCGACGAACAAATTAAAATCTTTGTTACAGAAAACACGGAAAGTGACACTTTTTGTATGGAAGAGTAGTCGGAAAAATACACCACTGTCGTCTGAAATTCATTGTTACGTTAAAAATAGAAAAGGTTTACACTTAAACAGGTACAGAAGTAACTGTAACCGTGTGAGGTTTTTACTTAAGGGGTAGCGCCAAAACTAGTTTTGGAGTTGCTGTCGTCTAAGCATCAAAGCACAGGCGATTTAGGTGGAATGAGATATCCAAATAGGCTTTTAAGTAAGAATTTGCCGCTCTGTACATGCAATTATCCATTTTATAGTGCTTACAACAGTTTGAATCACCGGGTTAATAGAGTACTAAAGTGTGACGTCATAAAAATGAAATTTCTGAAATTATGGGATTTGTCTCGATATTCTGAAAGAGCAATGTCCAAGAGGCCTACATGCCAAAAATGAGCATTTCGGGGAAAACTGTCTCTGAGATCGTAGCCCAGTTATGCTTAGAAAACTCCATACAAACGTTTCTAATTTTTTGGGGGGTCGTTTGTATGGAGTGTTCTGAGTATAACCGGCTAACATCTCAGAGGCAATTTGCCCCGAAATCCTCATTTTTGGTAGGTAGGCCTCTTGGATGACGTCACCACTTTAGTACTCTATTTTGGCCAATTTAAGCTTTGTACTGATATAGAGAAGAAACCAGGACCTTCAGTTTATGTAGATGCTACAAAAACAATTAATGCTCCATACTGTCAAGGAAATGTTACAGTATTTGGGGAAAATGCTGGACAACGTGTCGCAATGAGCCTGTGCGTTTTAATTTACAGTAANTACTGATATAGAGAAGAATCCAGGACCTTCAGTTTATGTAGATGCTACAAAAACAATTAATGCTCCATACTGTCAAGGAAATGTTACAGTATTTGGGGAAAATGCTGGACAACGTGTCGCAATGAGCCTGTGCGTTTTAATTTACAGTAAGATAACAAAGATTACTTCAGTTGATGATATGACTCAAATATAGGATTGTTGGTATTCAGTTATATTCTAGTCTGTCACTGCTTGCAAGAAAATCTATGTTAATGTTAACAGAATTGCCAGGAATGAATACAATGACAGTTATACTTGTAACATCATCCATCACTACTGTATATGCCACTCACAAGATACTGCATTTGAAACACTCTTGGCACTGAACTACAACTCATTCATTTTAACGCTGGCAATTATTGGTGTTGGTATCTACAGCATTCATGAGGCTGGGGAATATAATGTATTTGATTCTCATGCTAGAGATATGTATCATAACAGTCATAGTGAAGGGACATGTGTATTGTTGGAAATACCATTCATGCATAAATTATAACAATATTTTCAGACTCTACATACATGTAGAAATGAGGATATATATGAACTTAAAGGTGTACATATTGCCACCTTTGAACCTCATCTTTTCTCAAGCAATGTTGAACATTGTAGTATATCAAATGTTAATAGTTACCAATGTTCCTGTAAACAGCGCCGCCCTATAGCAGTTTATGCAATGTGTTACTCTCTTATTAATCCTTGTGGATACTGGACTTAAGGAACTTTATTTGCCCTTGTTAGTAACCGGAATACATTGTACAGTGTGATGGGTGTGAAAACACATCTGTCAGTATCAGCGGAGCTGAGATAAACCTTACTCTCCGGGCTGTAACCACTTTTGTCCTATGTTGCAATTTGGCTCCAAGCATGTCTGCAGTGGAGATGTGCATATTTTCAAACTGATTGTCACGAAATGACACTATTTTTGTTGTGGATTGGGACATACTGTATAAGCTGTGTGGTTCAGCAAACAAGTGGAGTAAAGTATTTGTCTTCTCTGGTAAGATATGATGACAGTTCTTTAGCTGCAATAAGGCATGTTCAAAGTATCATACGCGTAGTACGACCACGCCCAAATACACGCTCCCACAGCGTCTTGTTGAAAACTTACTTTAGAAATCTCAGAATCGTTTTTAGGTACATGTTCTGATGGAAGAAAAATATCATTACACAAAGTAATAGACTCGAAACCCAGCCGTTAAAAGATAAATTTGATGCTTTTCATTTCTTTCAGTTCGTTCGGAGAAATAGAATAATATTGCATTTTCTCGTACTATAAGAACTATCGTATTTTACTTCATTGTTGAATATACTGTAACTCTAATTTCACTGGGGTTATAGTTTGAGAATGAACGTCCTCTCGTTGGCTGTCGGGTTCTGACTGTGTCATCGGAAAAAATCGAACGTTATTAACTGAGCAACATGTAGACTTGCCACAATACGACTGCGAGAGCCGGAAACGGGCTTTCTGAGAAAGTCTATAAATCATCTTGCAACAAACGGAATTCAAATTCAACGTCGTCCATTTTTCACGCCCATTCTCGATGCGTATCTGTGCATGCGCGTGCATGGATTTACCACTGGGCAAAGAAATTTGTTTTAAAAAATCAGGACTGAGCCGCAGGGTCCCCGCGGACTGTGGCTGTAGGCCCTGCTTTTACCAAACAATTTCATTCCGGTTATATTTATTTTAAAAGCTACAAAACAGTGAAGATACTGCTGAAACTTCGCGCTTGATAAAAAAAAGAACGTGGCTCTGTCAAACCCATCTCCCTAATTAAACTCATTTCCCCATAGTAGTTCACTGAACGTACAAACTTCCCACTTTAGTGACATTCATTAGCAAACGCAATTTAAAAGTAAACCTTCGCACGCACTTGCTGATCCTTGATTACTGCTTTTTGGGGTGAAAACATTTATTTCTTAAATAATTGGCTAGTTTATGAAAGAAAGTTTTTTTTTTTCAGGAAGAAGCGGTGTGGAAGGCGTTAACTTATTATGATTCCTGCATGGACAAGGACGAGGTTGAGAGATTGAAAGCAAAACCTCTTGAAAGACTTATCCAAGAATACGGTTCATGGAGCATTACTGACAAACGTTGGCGGGAAGAGAACTGGAACCTAATAAGTAATCTTGCCAAGGTCCACAAATATTTGGCTTTACCAGTTTTCTTTGAAACTACAGTAGCAATCGATAATAGAAACAGTTCCCAGTACGCTATAACGGTAAGATAGCTGATTACCAGGCAATAACTAGTATCCGCCGGTTAATGCCCCTGGCTAAACGTCAGACTTGTAACATTTTACCTTTCCTAGAAAAAATTCCTATTTGACATTAACCACGGAAGAAAGAAATAATTTCCAGGTTCTGAGAGAGTGGGCTTGGTGATCGAGACGAAAGTGGCCTTCAATTCACTTTTGCAACTTTCATCAAAACGTATTGAATAATAGTCAACAGATAATCGATCTTCTAAAGATTAGTCAATTATTATTGTTATAAGCTTTTATGAAAATGAAGAAATGATCGTCGCAGTGAACGTAATTTATGCAACTGCGTAAAGAAGCCTGAAAAAAATTCAGGACTTCAACGGGGTTTGAACCCGTGACCTCGCGATTACCGGTGCGATGCTGTGCGATTCAAACCCCGTTGAAGTGCTGAATTTTTTCAGGCTTCTTTACGCAATTGCATAAATTGCGTTCACTGCGACGATCATTTCTTCATTTTCATAAAAGCTTATAACAATAATAATAAATTTCATTTCCGCAGTTCATATATGATTTATTTCATTTATCATTAACAATAATTTTTTTATTCTGCTGAGGCGTTAATTGCCAACGAGCCATCCGAGCGAAGACGCTCGGATGGCGAGGCGGCAGCAGAATAGAGCCGCGCAAGACTGGGCAATAGGCAGAAAAATTCTCGATCGAGCTGAAAAAAGTGTAACCCAATGTAATGTAGATTCCCCTGAGACCAAGTGGTCAGTTGTGAACCAATCAAAAGGCAGTACCTGGCGCACGGGCTCAAGTTGAATAACAAACAAAATTTCACACACTTCCCGCCGTCGCGACTTCCTGTGTTTCTTTACCTAAATTTTTTCGTTAAACCCGGCCACCGCAGTCAAGAGACATGAGCACTTGATATATTCTATTAATTTTAGGGGCCATAATGTTAAATTTTAACGAAGAGAAGTTTGTAAAACAGCAAAAGTGTTCTATGTGCAGCAAGCAATATTCTCACCACTAAAAAGGATCAGATTACACGAGGAGATAAGGAAAGCTTGACACGAAGAATGCAGTCGCTTCTGTTGGAAAATCTGGTGTTGGGGAAAAAATCTAACCAGCAAACAAAAACAATGAGAACAAAAACGAATTACAAGCCTAAAGCAATCGACAAAGGAAAAGAAAACAACGCCATTTTTTTCGAAACGTGGCGGAGTTCAGTATAAAAATAATGAACTAAAATTAAATACCGACGTGCCGTACATCGCTTGTCCTTGGAAACATTTCAGATGGCCCAGCGAATCATTTTAAGTTTCAATCCGATAACAAAAAGACTCGGGAAATTTGAAAGGAGGTGTAAATGATTAAACTGTGCAAATATTTATCAACAATGTGAAACCGAACCGACAGTAGATTTGTAGCTGGACTTAATAATATTCCCGATCGCTTCCTCTGCAAAGCTGACTTTATTCTTTCAAGGCACTTCACAATTTTACATAGCGGGTTTGTAAAGCCACCATACTGAATCTGAGAACTTTTCAAGAAAATAATCCTTGCAACAGGAAGGGACCAAGAAACGGTCAAATGGGGAAAAAAGGAATTTTATTCCTAAGCAAAATAAGCATGATTTGCTCGTTGGCACTCTATCGATAGGTATACCTAGTTCTAGCCATCACTTAGTAAAATTTCATGTAATATATATGACTAACAGCAGATAAACTGAAGACTTCATATACTATAAAAGTGCTCAATGGTAAAAACAGAGCTGTGAATATAATATAGATTACTGGAGTAGGACTAATTCAAACACACACATATATATGTCTTATGTATTCGTGTGCATTGACTAAAAACATGTTTCAGTGTAATTTATGCAAAGTAACTGTAAGTGCTAACTTGAATTCAACATTGGCTTGTATACAATGTCCGTTTAAAAGTTAATATTTTCAACGCAAAATAGGACAGCACACAGTTACGAGTTAAGTTTATAAAAAGCTTTATTGATAGTTTGTTCTTTCATGGTTGGACTTTCAGATGAGAGAATCTCGCACATCGTTATCACAGAGGGAGCACTTAACAGACGACAAACAAAGTCTTCGGGTAAGAGTGAGCAATAGTATAGATACCTGATAACTCAGTCATGGCTCTTAAACCCCCTCATGTTTTAGTTTTGCTAACCGGTTTTAAAAGAGTAAAACCGGAAATGCTTTTTTTTCTTCTAGTTTCGAGAAGCGTACATGAATCTTATGAAAAACCTGACAAGGAAGCTTGGCTCAATAAACGGCTCTGAGGATGATCTCCTGAAAATGTTTGAATTTGAAAAAGAATTGGCAGAGGTACACTTTATATTGCCAATAAATTTGTACTTCATGTATTTATTTAGCGTATCAATTTCAATATATAAGTTTGAATTTGTCATTATTTTTTTACCCTTGTTTTAGATAACAACCCCGCCATTTAGACGGCTAACATTTGAACAAGCTTATAAGAAACTCACGGTGTTTAAGATACAAACGTACACCGGAGAATTCGTGAGTATCTTCACAGTACAAATCCGTGATTTTATTTCCAGATTTATCAGCAAATCTAGGGGTGGATGTTCTGCTTACAATTTTGTCTTAAATACTAGTTCAACTGGACTGAATACTTAAGAGTAATGATGGAAGAGAATTCTTATAAAGTTGACGATCAATCAGAAGTTGTTGTGTATTCATTGGGATATCTTAAAAAGCTGATGAAACTGCTGAGGAGAACCCCTAAAAGGTAATTACAAGTCAAATGCTGAATGCTACAGTTCAGGCCACACAGCCTGAATGAGATGTGGGAGATACATGTACAATCCCGGACATAAGTCCTTGAGACAATAGTACGATGCCTGCCTGTAGATATCTGCTTGACATCATAATTACAAAAAGCAGTGCTAGTGTTGCATGCGGTGTTCCCCGTACACGTCCCCTACCATACAACGTTAAAACGTACGATTGGATATGTAGGGCGGAAAGGAGATAGAAATGTTATACTTACGGCATTTTACTCTGTCTTGCACTCACTCATAACTCTCTCCGTTACAGAGAACAATATCTGAAGTCTACTTATAGAAACATCTACACTCTCTCTCAGTTAGTCTTGAAGTTTGCAAGAACTAAAGAGTTCTACACCAAAAGAACATCTTCGCGTTGTTCTTTTTTTTTTGGATTAGGTCCAAATAACTTCGCTAATTCAACTCTATATGTCTATTTGTTTTCTGAATTAGGACTGTTGCCAATTACCTGATGTGGCGAGTCGTAAAGCAAAAATTCCTACACCTGAGTAGCGACTTTACCGAGCTGTTAAAATTTTATTACCTCGAGGCATTCAATTACTGGAGGGCGAGTGACCAACACCAGCTTTGCCTGCTTGGAACCTCACTCAAATTTGGAATACCCCTCTCAAAGGTTTTCCTTGATTTAAAATTTTTCGGGACTAGCAGAAAAATGGTGAGAACAATATAACATAAAGTTAATGTTTAAGTATTTGAATGTATTTATTTAAAATTTATTTTTTAGAAGCCAGGGGATCGGATTTAAGGTGTTGAACCTTTAAACTGATAAGGGATTATCGTATGACCCGTTGAGCTCGAAATAAGCCTTTCCACGTTTTTTTTTTTTTCAACTTTTTACACTGACAAGTTAGGGAAAAGTCCATCAAAACCACTGGAAAGAGCGCCTTTAGATTAGAAAATTGACAAGTTTGAAAGTGATTCGTTGAAAACTAACAAAGAGCTACCGAAATTTTACAGACGTTTGAGTGGTGAGGGAAGTTACAAATAATGTCTGTAAAATTTCGCAACTTTGCGGAGCTATATCTTCGCTCGCTTAAGATGTATCACTTTCAAACTTGGTAAACTTACCAATTTTAAGAATCTCTTTCCAGTGGTGTCAACGAATATTTCCTAACTGGTCTATGTTAAAAGTTGAGAAAAACGTGGATGGGTCTATTTCGTTGAAAAACCATACGGCCCTGCTAGAAAAGCGTACTTATAGACGCGGGCTCGCTCCGTTAGAAAAAATTAAAAAACACGACGGTCATATGATAAAACGCTTATTATTGGCTGAGTTAGGTCGCGCTGGACGAGAAAATATTTGTCTCTCGGTCAGGACGCACGGATCTCGAGCCAAATATTTTCCCATCCGGCCAACCACTCAGTCAATAAGTACATATTATGTGTTGATTCCTGGTCAATCTTTTCTCTTCTACCTAACGAACAGGTAGAACAGGTAGAGAGGAATGGGACTGCTTCCCGCCACTTTTACCACAAAACAATGAAGCATGTTCCGACCCTTTTGATGGATGAAAATATGCTCAATTATTCATCGTGATTGATGGAGTGTCCTTTATTGTTCATCTTTATTCATTCAAAATATTTCGTCGTTTCGGATTGGCTCCAATCTCCCGACTTATTCTTCACAACCAACTGGTGCTCACCATTTTTGGAAAATGCCAGCAATATGCTATTGATTCAATGGTATATTTGCTTGGAAACGAGGTTGATCGATGGTATTTTGCCTGGAAACTAGGCTACTTGTGCAATAGCGAACTAAAAAAAGCCGTTCATGGTTACCAAAGGCGAAATAGCGAAATTTCTGACTATACCTGAGTAAAAGAAATGCAAGAATACGCAAAACATATTGTGCGATTGATGTTATCTACTTTTTGAGGATTATCCGCGAGAAAAAACATATGTTTATTCCTGAAACTGTGCCAAAATTTTGAAGAAGAAAGTCTTCGAGGAGGTAAGCTTGTAGAATAAGAGAAAATGATGCTTAGAAATATTTTGAATAAATAGCAAAACAGTTATCTAAGTCGGATTTCGTATGATGTAAGAATTATGATGATCTCGGAGGCTGTTATCCTCGATCTGCATAATTCTTCACATTATACTCACCTCATTCGCCAATTGTTATTTATAAGATAACTGTTTTTCAAAGACAAACTGTTCAATTTGTGTATCCTCTTTGAAGAGATTCTTCTAATCTAAGAGTCGTTTAGAGTCGTAGTTTTTAAGGTGGCTGGACACAGTTTGGCAGTTTGTGAATATGTCATTTGCAAATCATGGCAAGAGAAAGGTTGTAGCTCACAAGCTGAAACTTGGCAAGTGAAAAATACACCGATGAAAAATTTTGATTGACAGGTAAAATGTGGCATTTTCGTAGTCTCTATGGCAACATGAATGATTGAATACAACCTTAAAATTTCACTTTTGCTCAGTTTACATAAAAATCGCTCATTAGCTTTTCCTACAAACTTGCACATAGCTTACTATAATTAATCATTAGCAATTGAAACTTATTTGACCAAATTTTAACCGACGGGTTTTTAGATAATCAATAATGTAATTGTACTGTAATTATTAATTTTTTTTTTTCCAACAGACCACTTGAATCTAAATACTCTATTACGTTCTCTGTTGATACCTGGTAAAACTTTGTTGCTTCAATATGCAGGCAATAGATATTATTGGAAATATTCGAGCTGCCTTTATCGACACCCTTGAGAAACAAGACTGGATGGACAACAAGACAAAGGAAGCAGCAAAACAAAAGGTACACAACGGAGATATAAAGTATTTACTGAAAAGGGGAACTTTTCGGAAACCCTACTATAGCCTGTATGCGATCACATGAAAACTAGCACATGACGGACGAGCAATACAATCGCGACTCAATTGACCAATCAGGGCAATAACCAGAAAGTTTAATACCATTAACTGATGTAAGAGAACTCAATGTGACTTTGAAGGCTACCTTACAAGTTGTCGAAACCAGTCAGTCAACATAAGCAACAGTCCCATTCATCCGGACGATCACGGACATTCATTTTTGTTTAAGTTTAGAGTGGGCCATTTAGGGATACTCTCTATGGTTAACAATTACATAACTTTAGACTAGAAATCATACATTGTTATAGGAAATTAACGCTCCACGAAATTAAGGTATTAGAAATTAACGCGAATTTAACGGAAAACGACTTTGGAATAAAGAAATTTAACGCGAAAGAGGGGGTAACAATTGAGAATAAAGGAAATTAACGCGATTTTCACAAACAAACAAAACAAAATTTCAAAAAAAACAGGAACAAAGATAAACGTATAATCCGAAATGAAAACTTCGTTGTTGATACTTTCCCTAAACGTAGTGTGCGAAAGGGTTTAGACGAAGAAATCTGGCCACCTCGAGGGTTCTTCGCAGTTTTACTGACACTGGCGGATCTCCACCCTGATAAAAATATTCCTCTTTCTTTGGTGACGAGACTTTGAGGCCAAAATAATTGAAATTAAGGTCGCAGAAATTAACGTTAACACAAATTAACGCCACTCAAGGTACTCTTAAGTAAACACAGATAAAGTTTAATTATTTTTGCCATTTCTGGGATGGGAAGGGGGGAGGGGAAGGGGGACTGTAGTCGCATATACTATCGGTAGTATTTACCAAGTCAGTGGATAGCAATTTTCGTTCGTTCTGATTGGCTCCCCTTACTCGGACTATCCTACCTTGGTTATTATTCTCTTTTTATGGACAGGAGTCAGAATGGCTCCACGTTTCGCGACAGTAGCACTAGTACAATGTACCAGCAAAACTTTCTATCAGGCAGTTTCAACGCCAAGTAGCGGTCACTATTAAACTGAAACTACTATATGAAACTCGCATTGAAACTCCCAGTCAGCTATGCTTATTTAACAAACCAAACTCTTTTGCAGGCGGAATCTATTATTGAAAATATTGGATATCCTGATTATATCATGGACGCAAAATACTTGGCAGACCAATACAAAGATGTATGTAACATTGTTTGTTTACTTCATATCAGCAACTTACCACCGCTTATGTCCAAGATCGATCTTGTAAGCAAAAATTTGCTAGCAAATTGTTTTCGCTATTTTAGCAAAAAAGATTTAAAGAAAACTGCTATCAGAAAAGTATAGAAGAAATAGCGAATGTCGCAAAAATCCAAAAGTAAGAAGCCTTTTTCTTGCTATGTGAAAAGATTGAGTAACAAATATGGTAAAAATAGCATGAATAAAAAATTTTCAAACAGAAAAGAGAAGAGAAAGAGAGAAATTTTACGAAGAGAAAAGGCCAAGAAGGGCTTCGTGAATTCCTCAAATTTCGCAAAATCGCAAAAGTAACAAGAATTTTTTTTCCTATGTGAAAAGATTGAGCAACAAATAAGGCTAAAATAGCAAGAATAACAAATTTCACAAAATTCTACACTTAGAAAGAGAAAAGGTCAAGAAGGGCTTCGAGATGTCCGCAAATTTCGCAAAAATCGCAAAAGTAACAAGAAATTTTCATCCTATGTGAAAAGGTTGAGCAACAAATAAGGCAAAAATAGCTAGAACAACAAATTTCACAAAATTCTGCACTTGGAAAGAGAAAAGGTCGAGAAGGGCCAACCTCGTTCCCAGGGTTCTCTCTAGGGCGGGTAGGAGAGAACCCTGGGAACGAGGTTGGAGAAGGGCTTCAGTAAGTCCGCAAATTTCGCAAAGATCGCAAAAGTAACAAGAATTTTCATGCTATGTGAAAAGATTGAGCAACAAATATGGCAAAAATAGCAAGAATAACAAATTTCACAATATTCTACACTTAGTAAGGGAAAAGGGCAAGGAGAGCCTCGAAATATGGCAAAATGCCACAAATTGGCTAGAGTAACAAGAATAGGCAAGAATTGTTGAAGGTAAGAAAGGGGCCAAGAACACCCGCGCATCACTGTTTTTCCCTAATACTGATGGTTATCTTAACTGGGATACGTTCTTGTCCAGTAATTTTGTAATGCGTTCCATTTTGGCGAAAATGAAATCATCTGTTACAAACGTGACACTAGTTATAATTACTGACAGTAGCAAAATACTGTAATATTAATCTGTGTATGCTTCGTTCTTCCATCAACATACAGCTACAATGCATAGAAAAGAGTGTCTCCCAGAGAAGGGGGCAAATTTTAAGCAGTAAAAGGGGGTGGTAGCAGAACTTTTCGTGGCCTAGAACCCACCATAAGAATCGTTCCAAAATATCAAGAATAGCACATTGGGGGAAAGAAATCGGGCATTATACGTGAATGTTGCTGTGCAATACCAAAGGTTTTTTAAACAGGGATTGCCAGTGATTTGGTAATCCTTCCCTTTTATTTTAAATAACAATTGACCTAATTGTATTTGCGGACATTTCGGGGTCCTTCTTGCCTTCTTTTTTTTAAGTCTTGATTCTTGTTACATTCGTTATTTTTGCGATATTTGTCACGGGTGTTTTTGGCTAGCAAGAAAAATCCTTGTTACTTTTGCGATTTTTGCGATATTTGCGGACATTTCGGGGTCCTTCTTGCCTTCTTTTTTTTAAGTCTTGATTCTTGTTACATTTGTTATTTTTGCAATTTTTGCGATATTTGTAAGTGATTTTCTGACATAATTTTTTCTCGATTATTTGTTGTGCGAAAAATTGCGAAAAAAAGTTGCTAGCAAATTTTTGCTAACAAGATCGATCCTAGACATACCTGGCAACTTACATGTTTTACTAAATTTCTGGTTCTGAGTTGTAGCCTGTGTGAAAAGGTAGTTTCGGGAGCAAAATAATTCTTAGTCACCGGTGTAGAGGGAACTTGTCTAGATGTTACTCTAAAATTATAAAAGCAAAAATATTCGTACCAGCTATGCAGTCAATCGAAAGGTCGAGTAACAGTTGGTATTTAACGCCTAGAAATTTGAACATAAAACAGGATTTCTTGTGTTTGTGGCAGGGGTCAGAACCTATTCAACTGTAAGGGGAACTTCTATTGTTCTTCTTGGCGAATACATGAAATTTTTCCTAAGGAAACTTAACTCTTTCCTGGAAAGATCGGTTTCACGAACGAAAATGCATCCTCGCCTGTGAGCAAGAGCAATTAACCTAGAACGAACAGAATAGCTTGTTGTAAACGCGGTTATCAGAAGAAAAAGAAGTCAGCTGCGGCAGGCAGGCAAGTGGCGCCACACACAGTTAAAACACAATCTACATCTGAAGGCAGGCCAAATTCAGAGCAATTTGCTCTTAGCCGGAACCCAAAATTCATCTTAACTCAGCTTAGGATTTTAACAGGGTTGTCAATTCATGGTTGTTTCAAATACATGCTTGTTGCCTATATTTTCTTTGCTTTTAAGGTGAAAATAGATCCAAGAACATTCTTTGACAATGATGTGTCCACAATAAAAAACAGAAACCTAAGGACTCTTGCAAAGGCTGGAACTAAGGTGGACAAGTCTGAGTAAGGCGCTTTGTTAGATCTTTACTATCGATGTATGCTTCCATAACAAACTATGTACCTTTAAGTTATTTACGTTCCTTCTAACTGGCTTACCTCCTTCTTATTGGCTTTAGAACAGATGAAACTTACATTTTGATGGGAAATTTCTTGGATGACATTTTGTGATAAAAATTAGCAATAAAAGGTCGGAAAAAGTCACGACGTTTCACCTCTCCGAGGTTATTTTTAAGTGCGAGTAAAACAAAAATGTATAAATACATAGTTTTAAAGGTAAGAATGCCATGCACAATAAAATTCGTTAAAATATGTCAATGATAAGTGATAAAATATTCATAAGATTGAAAAAAAAAAACATAAGACAATGAAGTAAAAATAAGGCTAATTGAAACCGATCTACACCAATAATTTTGCTCGGATGGAATCGCACTATTTGTTTAGTATTGGTTTCACTTCTTTGATAAAAAACATTTCAAAAATAAGGCAATCAAGTTTGCTCTGGAGCTTTAATTCCTTAAAATTTTAAATTTCGCGCGATGACATTTGGGCACATATTGTGCTGATCCCTCAGGTGGTTTTGATTGTAGTTCCGTTGTGTTCTTCAATTCGCTGGTGAAGGTGACAGCACGTGTAGCCGACATAACCTGTATCACACAGGTTACACTGAAAATGATACACAACGCATTGTAACAGAGAGAAGTCGTTACGTCATGTTGCCATGGTAGCAAAATTTTTGGATGACAACAAACCGAAAATTCACTTAAATTAAGAATTTGTTCGTGCTTAGCGTGCGTATATCGAGTTATGGATGCACGCGGGAAGTTTGGAGAGCACGAAAGATGCGTAAGAGTTGCACGAGGCGATAGCCGAGTGCAACTCTAACTTCTTGAGTGATCTCCAAACTTCCCAAGTGCATCCATAACTCGATATACGCACAGCTAAAAACATGAGCAAATTCTTTTATAACATAGCTGACAATAATGCTTGCTTTTTGATTAACTGCAAAATTCTCGTAACGCGCGACACAATAACAAACGGTTCTATTGGCTGATTATGAACACGCCACAATCGTCTACTTTGAATGAAAATATTCTTTCTGTAAACGTGAGAAAGAAAGTTTGCTTCTTTATTCGTTAACGATCAATGGAAACTAAGCCGAAACAAAGGTAAAAGAGTCTTAAAGTTCACCTAAAGTTAAAATCCTCCGTGACATGTTCGTGAGAAGTCGTGGAGTATAGTTTGGATTTGCTGAAAAGATGTTTACGTTTTGCTCAACGAAATCCAGAAAAGATGTTTTTAGCGAAGACGACTGTCATCCTTCTTTAAACTTATATTCATTTACGAACATTGGCTGGTCATTACGGCTTCTTGAGAAGACCTGGCAGCAGCTGTTTTTGTGAGTAATAAATTTATGTCTCCTTGTGTAATTTGTGTTGTTATTGCGAGAGAAATTTTCCTGCTTCAGTCGGATTGTCCGGAGATAACAAAGTGCATAACAAATTTAAAAACAACAATTAAAACGGAAATTTTGCCTTTAAATGTTGTCGATGACCAGTTGGTGTCTGTTCTGTTCCCAGTGAATGTCTTTCGGCCAAAATTTGCTGCAGCTGGTCTTCGACAAATTTGCAAAACGCGCAACTTGCGAGTTTTTTTTAATTCGGCTTTATTTTTGCTGCTTGTTGGATCAGGACCTAAAAGGTCAATGCCGATAGAAAAATTGGCAGTTCTTCGCTCGTTTCTTCCATATTTTAAAGAGAAGGAAAAGTTCACTGCAGCTTATAAGACGACAACTTTGCAGCCAGGTAAAAAAAATGCTTACGTCATGTTATTTACGCACGGACGTGCGTAAATGAAGATTTTGTTCATAGCGGCTCAATAGGACTTATATAGGGCAAGCACGCGCGCTATGTTATAAAAGTAAATTCGCATCGTCTCATACTTCATCGATTTTATTCAATTTCATTTGGTCTCATTCTCTTGAATTTGTCAAATGTTGGCGAAATTTTCTGGGGTTGAATCCGAAATAACAGTATCTGAGTACAGAAAAAGAAAAAGAAACTTTTTGTGTTGTGTTCACCTTCATCGTAAAGCGGGCGCGTGAAATTAGAAAGTTTCATGTCGCAGTTGTGCAACGATGGCTAAAAAATGTGCAAAAAAAAAGTGATGCACGTGCAGTTGTTGTTTTACTAATATAAACTTATTTCTCATTATAACTTATTTATTACTTTTCTGCCATTTTCGTTGCCGTCGCCGTCGTTGTTGCCTAAGGTTCCTTTTGTTATGATCCAAAAATTTTGCTACCATGGTAACCTGACGTCACACTTTTCCTCTTTATTGTTGATTCACAAACGGGGTGGTATGTCTTCCTTCACCTCGATTTCGTCCTTGATCTTTCGACTTGTGTATACAGGGCTGATAGTTGCATTGATCTTACGACTGAGGTCTGCAAGTTGTCTGCGTACTGCGTCAGCAGATTTCTGATTCTTGAAAGGCAATACGATTCTGATCGGGGCTTCATTCTTGTCAAGAAGTTGTTGTCGTGTTTGTGCTTCCTCAGATACTTTTGAAGCAATCAATTAGCGGATGGTGGATTGTACGAGTTTGTACTGGTAGCGGTTGTTTTCGGTTTCTAGCTGTTTCTTGACGTTACACATGCATGAATTCGTTAACCATGAGAGGTCCAAGTGGCGAGCCTTAGCAATACTAGTCTGCTACACAGCCGTTTTTAGTGTCGTCACGCAACGCTTCTCCCCACTAACGGCTGCTGAAAACCGAACCACATTCCTTTCCCGCGATTAGCCAATTAGAATTTAGCTCCCATTTTCTGGAAGGTGTTCGCGCCACGTGTGCGGTATGGTGACTCCTCCAATCACAGCTTTGCTTTTATCGTTGCCCCATGTGTGAATGACAGAACAATCAAAATCGTCGCATGAAAACAAGCAATCAACTAGAGTAGTGTTGTCGTAGTCGAGTCCTTTGAAAATTTTTGAGATAAGAAGCAACAGGAAGCAAGTCGAGCAAATATGATGCACAACATGGATATGCTTATAAAGTTGCCGGGTATAGTTTCGGGAAATCGCTTATCGATAATTTATAAGATTGCTTTTGTTTGAATAAGTACCTCTGGGAGTTTAGTCTACATTCACATGTACAGCAACACAATAGGGCCATTTATACGAGGAAAAATAAGACGCGTCTTAAATAAGATGCGAACTGTGCCATTTATACGAGCATGTCTTATCTAATAAGACGCGTCTTAGCTAAGCCGCGTCTTATTTTAGACGAAATGTGCCGTTTATACGGAAAGTTCGCGTCTTANCGAACTGTGCCATTTATACGAGCATGTCTTATCTAATAAGACGCGTCTTAGCTAAGCCGCGTCTTATTTTAGACGAAATGTGCCGTTTATACGGAAAGTTCGCGTCTTATTTTTCCTCGTATAAATGGCCCTATTGAGCACATCCAGCACATGAAATTCATCATACATATGCACGTTAAAAAGAACTAACCGATCCTGGTAAGAATCTTGTAGGCCTATCAAACCTTTTTTTTTACTTGGAATTTTGTTAACCGCTTAAAACAAACTTTTCTGCAAACAACCTTTTCGTTCCTTGCAGACACAGACCTCATCAAAATTCAGCGACGATTGATTGATTTGTCGAAAACTGAGAAGCGTGTTCGCTCTTAGCGCCCGGCGGCTCACGTATTGTCAAGTTTCTTTTACATGATTGGTTTGTTCCTTAGACCACAAACACAAAGGGAAAGGAATGTGGTTCGGTTTTCAGCAGCCGTTAGTGGGGAGAAGCGTTGCGTGACGACACTAAAAACGGCTGTGTAGCAGACTATAGCAACACCGTCCACCTGTTCATAGAGGTTTCCTTCAAACTGGAAAAAGCTCATTTTTAGTGGCAGTTCTCAACAGCTCTATCAAATCTGACTTCGTGATGTTGAGATTGTGTTCTTTGTTGAACCAACCGTACATTTTGTACGTTAAAGTAGAGAAAATTACGTTTTGAAATGGGAACACATGATTTGAGAAATGGTAAAGGTGTAACGTGCAACCATCGAGTTACGGCTGCACGCGGGAGGTTGCCATTAAGGCACGAAAGAAGCGTAAGAGTTGTTCGAGGCTAACTCTAACTTATTGAATGCTAAGCAAACCTCCCAAGTGCATCCATAACTCTATGGTTGCACGCTGGACGTTTACCATTTCTTAATTTGACTAAATGGCATTCCTCTCGTACCTATGTTATGTACCTTCAAACGAATTCTGGGGAATAGGTAAGCGACTTTACTAGCTTTTGTGGTGAATTAACTTCTTAATATATTTGAATGGAATTGTATCATTAGAGGACATTTCATAGCCCCGCTGAGAAACGAAATTTCTCTTCGAATGTTGAAAAATAGCGCTCAGTTGTGAAACATTTTTCAACACTCGCTGAAGATAAATTTCGAAGCTGCACGCGGCCATGTAATTCTCCCATATTTTTCGCTGCGAAAGGTGCGATTTATCATGTAACCATAGCAAAGGCAATATTTTCACGCGTGAAGATAACATGTTCTTTTCACGAGCGAAAGCTCACCTGGTTAATAGATGAAAAAGAATTTCTTTTATTTCAGATGGCCTTTCCCTCCGACAATGCTAAACGCATTTTATTCATACAATCAAAACAAAATGGGTAAGAACTCTTTCACACTGTAAAATCAACTTAAATTTGCTCTCGTTTGTTTGTTTTTGTTTTTTTGAAGATGTCTTTTAGCGATGATATCAAACCGGCGAGCCGTTTATCGTTTATTTTTCCGGGTTATCCTTTGGTGCAACAAGGACAAAGTTTCACTGCGTCTACAAAATTAACAGCCTGTTTTGGCTAGGCTGGTTATCCAGCCTGCCCAACTGGCGGCAGGCGGCTAGCTCATCCAACCTTGTACCTGACAACTAAAGTACAATTATGCCGTCGCTAAACGTGGCTATTTGCTTCTAGGAAGTACATCAAAGGAGGCTAGCGGCGATTGTTATTAAAAGAAGGGCGGGGTAAATTTACCCTTTCCTACCCGTTCTAGCCTTCTTTTACATTATTAAAAGAAAAAACATTTTAAAAAATGAAATAAGAAGACGGATATCATTTATATTTATTTATGAAACCCAAACCTAGAAAAAAAGGAACTCGTTTGTTTTCCCAAGTGTATGCTTTGACCAACGGGAGGTTGGATATGGGCAGTGAAGGGGAAATTAAGTACCGTTTTAAAAGACGCTCTTTATGGAGTCTTTACAGGCTAATGAACCTTTACATCATGCGGATCTCTTATTTCAGGTGTGTTCATACAAAGCACGAAACTTACTGCTGTCTTTAATGCGCGCATCCATTTAGAGAGAAACCTGAGACGATTTCCAGAAACTGCGACACATGTGACTTAAAGGGACACAGTCAGCTATGGGACCGCGCTGACCTGGACACTGCTTTTGTCAGTTTGAAAAGAGTTTACAACCGGAAATCAAATGAACGCGTGGGCTACATCTAGAAATCCCCTTCAATCTTGCTTAGTGTTTCATTTGACCCTCGATCTTTTACTGAAAACCTCTTTTTGGGCAAACTTTAACTCATCCTATGACATTATTTCATCATATTTGGTTATAAACAGAATCCAAAGGAACATAAACAGAAGAGGTGAGAAACGCCTAGGTGCCGGGCGGGAGAAATCGCTTTCCTTTACCAAAATAACAAAAGGAATGAATCGATAACATTGGCGAGCAAATAATCGTTATATGTAGTGGGAAAATCGATGGAAAAGGTTACATATGTTTGGAAAATCAAGCTTTCTGGACCTTGAACCTTCGGCAATGATTCATGCCGACTCCGTGTCATTTCCCACTTCTACTCATGATCGAATTCAGAAGTATTCGTCGATGTTTGGCTTTCCCTGGACAAATCCATCTGTAAATTTTCAGTGGTATATAAAAAATGTGTGCTGTGGTGTGGCTTATGGTCTATAATCACGATTTGGACTTGTAACTAGTTCAACTCTTCAAGGTTTGTTTTGAGTATTCCGGATACTCTTCTCTCTTTCTGTTTCACGCGCGTGTCTGTGACATGCAAATCAGCTAAGAAATGGTATCTACTGCGCACGTGCATCAGCTGACTGTGTCCCTTTAACTTTCTAGCTCTGTTCTTCTGCCTCGTGCCTTATTACGAACTGTAAAAGGGCACTTTCAAATACACTGTAAGTATGATGCCTCGTCTTTCTCTGGTTTCAGTTTTTCCTGCTGCCATTTTGCAACCTCCATTCTACAATGTGCGGTATCCGAGGTATTATAAATTAAATAATCATGTTAAGACAAAGGTACCGCCTTTACACGGTTTACGTGCTTTGTTCGCGGCTACAAAAACATTGAATCCTCTATACGCTATTTCTTTTAGTGTAATTAACTATGGTGCAATTGGAGGAATAATGGCGCACGAAATTACACATGGATTTGACAACAAAGGTAATCACACACTATAATTCATAGAAGAAAGTGGGGTTAGGTTAAAGGGTTTATGGTTAAGGTTTTAGGGTTAGGATTAGAGTCGCGGTTACGGTTAGTGTTAGGGCTTAACATTTTCAATTAATCACACATCTGATTCTCTACTAAGGTTCATCTGGCGTTAGTGTACTCACGATGATTTTAAAAGACTTTTGGTGACCTACACTTTGTAAACGGCTGATTACTGAACCATACAACGATACAATTAAAACTGTGATGTGTTTTGTGATGACGTTTTCATCCCTCCCTTTTTCCTGCGATCTTACTGGATAAAAAATAGGTCAATAAGCAATCTGATTTAGATTCAATGAAATTGCAGTCTTCTGGTTGAAAATGAAAGTTAATTGAGGAAGCCAGTCAGTATGTGTTATAGCTGGAAATGAGCGTTTAGAAGATGAGTATGGTGATAATGCCGCACTTTCAACAAGATGAGCTATAGATTTTTTTCCATAGGTAAATTGTATGACGTAAATGGAAATCGGAGAAAATGGTGGAGAAACGCGACGTTAGTTAATTTTCAACAAAAATCCCGTTGTTTGGAGGAACAGTATTCAAATTTTACTTTTTATGGGCATAAGGTAAGTTATATAACAGTTCAAATAAACAAGTGCTATTAAACCATTCGCTCCTGGAGATTTTGCCGAAAAACGCGTTTTGAAGCTAGTCGAGTGGTTTTCTGGTCACTGTCGTGCTATAAAGAGCTAAAACTTACCACAAACCGGTTTACAGGTCGTACACTTCACGGCCTNTCAGTATGTGTTATAGCTGGAAATGAGCGTTTAGAAGATGAGTATGGTGATAATGCCGCACTTTCAACAAGATGAGCTATAGATTTTTTTCCATAGGTAAATTGTATGACGTAAATGGAAATCGGAGAAAATGGTGGAGAAACGCGACGTTAGTTAATTTTCAACAAAAATCCCGTTGTTTGGAGGAACAGTATTCAAATTTTACTTTTTATGGGCATAAGGTAAGTTATATAACAGTTCAAATAAACAAGTGCTATTAAACCATTCGCTCCTGGAGATTTTGCCGAAAAACGCGTTTTGAAGCTAGTCGAGTGGTTTTCTGGTCACTGTCGTGCTATAAAGAGCTAAAACTTACCACAAACCGGTTTACAGGTCGTACACTGCACGGCCTTCTAATCCAGATGCAAAATATCAGCTTGCAAAGTTCGGGCATGCGCAGAAAGCAAAATTTTTTGGGTTTAAAAGTGACACGGCAGTCTTGACTTTTACTTTTCGCTTTCTCTCCTCCCCTCTTTTTTCGCTTTTCTTGCCTCATTTTTTTTTCTCTTGCTAGGCATTTAGTAGGCTTCATTTTGGTGGGAATAGTTTTTAGGAAAGTTTTTAGGATCTTAGGATTAGGTGAAAGGAAAGGTAGGTGAGCAATGGAACAAGATTTTCATGGAGATTTTCAGGTCAATGTTACATGGTTTTTTGCCTCTTTCTCCGGTGTACTTGACTGAATTGAGCTCATTCTGGTATGGTTTGAAAGATCTCTTCACTCTGCACAAGTTAGCGGACAAAGTTGTCCTTGACCTTTAAAACTGACGACGTCACAAAGGGTAGAAAGGAAGTGGATCCGTACGGGCGGTTACGGGCGGTTCAGGGGCGAATGGGTTAAACGCTAATCTTTTAAGATCATATGAGATCATATGTAGGTAAGTGATATAAATGATAACCACGCAAAATCTGAACAGGGATACACCGCGGTCTAACCGAGTCTAAGGAGATTCAAGCTTTTTTAACCGCCTACTACTTGTGTCAATGCATATTTTCAGGTTAATGGTGAGACAACTTTATCAGAAAATATTGCAGACAACGGCGGTGTAACAGTGGCGTTTGAGGTTTGTGTTGATAAGTAAATTTAAACTCACTGACAAACCCTCCCGCGTCAACTAACTCTTACCTACGTGAAAAAGGGTAGCACTCTAAACGTAAGATTTTGTATCTTTTTGCGGTGGCAAATCTCAAGTTGACAAAGTTAAGGTGTCTGAAGACAGTTCTGATAAGTTGTGAGTGGTTACCGTCCATCGGGATGCTTTTTTAAACTCGATCCAGTTATTAAGCTTAGATTTAGCATTGATAAAATCAATTTATAAAACTTCACGTTTTTAGATAAAACTTGAATAATTTAAAACAACAAGTTTTGAATTTAGAGGTTTAAACAAGATCCAGTCGTTAGGTTTCCTTATGATTTTGCACACATCTTACAATTAACCATTCTCATTTTTAACTTGACCAAAATGACTGCTCTCAATTGATTATAAAATAACTGAGATAATATGCGCGATCTGATTGGTAAAACCTATGGTTTATTATACCGGTAAACCCATAGAAAAAGGCATCCGGACCACGAGCCATAAACAAAACCCGCTATTGATCTGCAAACAAAGATTTTAGAAAGGCTCAAAAACAGAACAATTTACTTACCCAGCCCTTCTTTATACAGCGAAACCTCTATTAAGCGGACACCTTCGGGACCTTCCTAAGTGTCCGCTTAACAGAGGGTGTCCTCTTAATGGAGGTTGTAAAAGTTGCGCAATGTTTGTTAGCGATCAACAATCAACGATTACTCTGTACTGTGATAAAGTTGCATGTTGTTAGTATAGGTAATCACATGATTTTGAGTGCAATTTGGAATAAATAAGCACGAGTAAATTTTTCAAAGACCAACAAAAGTGCACGAGCCCGTAGGGCGAGTGCACTTTGTGGTCTTTGAAAAATTTACAAGTGCTTATTTATTCCAAATTGCAGGAGAAAAATCATGTGATTACTTATTAATAATATACACGAAAAAAATAACTATAACAAAAAAATTTGACGNTTGTTAGCGATCAACAATCAACGATTACTCTGTACTGTGATAAAGTTGCATGTTGTTAGTATAGGTAATCACATGATTTTGAGTGCAATTTGGAATAAATAAGCACGAGTAAATTTTTCAAAGACCAACAAAAGTGCACGAGCCCGTAGGGCGAGTGCACTTTGTGGTCTTTGAAAAATTTACAAGTGCTTATTTATTCCAAATTGCAGGAGAAAAATCATGTGATTACTTATTAATAATATACACGAAAAAAATAACTATAACAAAAAAATTTGACGGGGCGTGCTTTTTTTAGTTCATTCAACTGATTGGCTGAAACAGATTACAACGTTTGTCAAATGCAAAGTTTTACAAGACTGACACGTTCAAAATCATTCAAATTAGAACTTGGAAAAGTGTGAGGATTGATTTAACACCTTTCAAGCGTTTTACATTTATGTAAAGAAAACTCGCTTTACAATAATCAGGAAAAGTAAACGTTCAATCAGAATCATCCTCAATAATGAACGCTCGGCGTTTACAAGAACTGGGCTGTCGTTTTGAAATCTCAGGAGCTCGCTTCGAGCGGCCAATGATGAAAGACACTTGACAGTTGTTGAACGTGTTCATGATAGTCTGTTCCTGGGACCTCATCATGGTCGGATTCACGGAGAAATTCTGAGCTTGAAAACCTGAAAGTGATGGAGGGAATTGGTTTTCTTTCGTCGCTGTCATCGATAGGCCGGCCAATGTGTGTGGTACGGGCACTTTCGTGTTTACCGGAGCGAGTGGAGCCACAGTTGTTGTGATGTCGGAAACTGCCATTCGCTTTTCCTCAGCACTGGGGTTTTCATAATTTCGTTTGAATATTGCACTGGAGAGCCGTCGTTGTTCTTCCTCGTCGGCTTCATCGTAATCGTCAAGGGATTGTACGCTTCGGTGGCCTGTGACCCTCACAATATCTGAGCGTTCAACGTTTGCTTTCTTTAGCTTGCTCACTGTTGTCTTTCTAGCACTGTGATTCGTGAACTTTTTGTGAATTTCTTCAAGGCTAGTACCCGCCATAGTGTTTTTCATCATGTTGCTAATCGTGTTTACTCCCATTGGTTGAGTTTTGAACCAGATGTTGTCATTCAGTGCTCGCAGTGGCTCGTAGTCGTCACCGTTTTTGTTTTTTACTTCAGCGTAGAATGTTTCAAGTAGCTTGTTTAGTTTTTCTGGCTCGTTTTCCTCGATTTTGTTGACAATATTTTTCTGTTTGCACCACGTCTCCCATACATTCAGCCAGAAAGACGTACTCTTTACTGTGTTTGGTTTTTTGAAAAACTTTTTTAGCTCTTCAATCGTTGTTTCACTTGCAAAACCAAATCGTTGTTTGCTGAAAACCCCGGCCATTTTCCTCCGCGTCTTATCTCAAAATTTCCGCCAATATGTTGCTATAGAAACAGCTTTAATCTGATTGGTTCTTGTTGGTTTCTTTTGTGTTTTTAGCCAATCAGAAAGCATTTGTAATTTGCACTCGTGTTACAAGTTTGCACTCGTGTTACACATTTTGCACTCGTGTTACAGAAGAGCTGCACTCCTTTCTCAGCCAATCAGAATTGAGTAATTTTTTCGTGTATATTATTAAAGAAGCTATCCAGAGTTCAAGTTCATTACCTTTCATTACGAACTTTAATTTGTTTGTAAATGCAAAAACATTAACTGACTTCAGTACGTATTTCAAGGACGTAATCCAATACTACTATTGCCAATTGAGTCCGGTGTCCTCTTGATAGAGGTTTTTGACGATAGAAATTAGCCAAATACATTTTATTTGTCTTTGTCCGCTTAATAGAGGTGTCCGCTGAATAGGGCTTCATGATAAAGGGAAATATAAGACGTTAATTTCGAGACCTGGCTTAGTGTCCGCTTAATAGAGGGTGTCCGCTGAATAGAGGTTTCACTGTATTAAAAAGCGCTGGTTTCCACATTTCATTACTGAGCGTCACAATTCGCTACTGCTATAGCTTTTAAGTTACAAAGTACAAAGCTGGAAAGCAGTTTACATTTCACGACGATGCCAAATCGCAGAGAAAGACAACAACTGTGTGAATTTCTGATGTAGAAGGTCTCTAGGAAAACTTAACCATATACCAGCCAGCAACAAGACGGATAGTTTCAGTAGCATTCTTGAACTATTTTATGTCAAAATTAAATTCCTGAACGAAAGAAATTGTTCCTAAGAGAGATCTGATCAAGTTCTGATACAACATCGGCAGCTGCAGGTTATAAACAAGCTGTAAACGATGATGAAAGATGTCAGTGTTTCGTGCTGGTTTTTTTTTCTAACATTTGCGCAAATCATTCGGTAATATCGATGCCATAACTTTCTTCAAACCACCTGACTTCACAAGTCGGCAAATATTAACGCCAATATGTGGCTGCAGCAAAGAAACGTTTCTCCAGATTTAGAGTTACCACTGACATATTTCCATCGGTCGTTGTACGTACGTAAGTTACATGCGCATCGCGTAGAATGCCCGGTCACATCCGGGAATTTAACTGGCCTGAGCCGCATTCGAGCCACGATTTGGTCTTTAAAATATGGCGGAATAATAAGACTAAGCGACTTTGAGAGTTTTTTGTCTCTGACTGTGAGTTACTCGTAACCAAATCTCAATGGGTACCACCGGAATACTTATATCAAAAAACACCAAATTCAAGATCTTCCCTTCGATTAATGCCAGCTTATCGGATTTCACTGGGTTTTTCGCGCTAAAAACCAACCAAAAAATCGCCATTTTTGTATGGATTTTCACTTGCGTAGACTTTCGCGGAAAGATTACAACCAAAGTTTGCAGAAATCGCTAACGGTACCACCCGATATCTTGACATCTCTCGTCTGCCTTTAAAACCACCACAGTCTTTTAAACCAAGGAATGTGATAAAAACTGTTTTTTTTTTTGTTTTGTTTTCCTTTGAATTTGACCTGAACCCGTGAGGGGTAGCCAGCGCGAGGAAAATTTCCAGAAGACGTCTTCGAAAGCCCAAAAAAATTCTCCGCGTTTCGGCCGCCATCTTTTTTATTTTTCAAACTTGTTTCCAGTACTCCTTGACCGTTTTGTTGTTTTTACCTCATGTATGCTTTATTTAGATGTGTCACGGATAAAACAGCAAAATACTAACCCCCAACCGGACGGGAAATTTTTTGTTGACCTCAATGGACCGAGAATTCTACGCGACGACAACTTCGCAAATAGTACAGCCACTTCGTTACCGCAGCAGTTCATGATCATGAAAAAGTCCAGAAAACAGATCTTAAAACACCGCAGCTTGTAAAATGTGATTGAAGTCCTCCATTACAATAGCTGCCAGTTCCGTCTCCAAGCAGAAAATTACGGATCGACTCAACAGAAAATAGCTGCCTACAGTTTGGATCAGGTAATAGCATGATTTGTAGCAATATTTGGCACAAATACCACGAGTGATATTTCGAAATTGTTACCCATATTTTCACAAGCCGTTAGGCGAGTGAAATTTGAGACAATTTTGAAATATCACGAGTGGTATTTATGCCAAATATCACGTACAAATCATGCTATTATTTGTTTATGCTACTACACGTAATGGTTTTTGTAATTTTCACAAATTAAGCTGAAATACCACTGCTCTAAGCCAATCAAATTGCAGAAATTTGTCATGTAGTAGTATACACATAATGTCAGGTCCCTCGGGAAACAGTGAGTTTTGTTTGTCTCGGGAAACATCAGGGCTCTCGGGAAAACAAAACTAACTGCTTCCCGAGGGAACCGACATCAAGTGTTTTGTTATATTTTTAGACTTTCACTTCAACAGCGACAGAAGAATAACCGGAGCTAATAAAAACAGTCGACTCGTCACTAATAAGAACACAAATTTAATTTTCAAAACCGCTGAATGAATGATTTACAAAGTACTTTCCTTATATTATCTGCATCTTTTTCCTCCACTAGCTGCTGTTTCTCTTCCGGGATAACTTTGAAAATCGTTTGCTATTTAGCTTGAAGCTTCATGTTTGTGTTGTTGTGTTCATTGACTGTCACGCCACTTTCCAACATGCTTTGATCACGTGCTGTAATGTAGCATTGCTTAATGTATCACGATCGGGATACATTTGATTTTAGTCAAGGCCATGTGATCAAGAATAAGCCAACGGCAGTCCCTGTTTTTTTCTACTTCTGTAGTAAACAAACCATGCACGTATTCTTTCATTGTACGTTCGCATGAATATGAGTTGACTTCCTGTAAAACAGCTTTCATAAGTTGTCATGTAATGAGTGCAAAAACTCGTGTTTTGAAGTGTTGCTGTTTGTTGTTTGACTGAACAGTGTTTTGAAAAAGTTCGGCGCTATTAAGTCGTGAGTTATGATTGGCTTATGATGACTTTAGAAAGAAGACATGACTTGATCATGGTAATAAAACCACATTTTTTACCTCAAAGACTCCGTTCTACTAAAAGATATTTTATAAAAGCAAAAAGCTTGTAAATCACTCGCCAGTTCGCTCGTGATTTGCAAGCTCTTCTAGTGTTCTCCTAACATCCGGCGTGGGTTATCACGCCGGTAAACCCGTAGAAAGTGATGAAAGTAAGTCCAGTCTCGCATTGTTCCTTATGGTTGATTTCCACTGTCACGTAATTTTTCCGTGCGAACGCACGTAAAATTTACGCGCGTAAATGAAATAGAGGCAATGTATGAAACGCCACAGGTAAATGTGAAAGTTAAGCAAGGTTCAACTTTTACGTTTACGCGTCACCTTCATACCTTGCCCCTATTTTATTGACGCGCTTAAAACGAAACTACGCGACAGGGGAAATCCACCTTTAAGTAGGCAAGCACAACACCTGAGTGGATGATGAGACAAGAGAAACGAAAAAATATTGTGTTTTCAGAGGAACTTCTGCGCATTTTTCTCTACTTGTTGGCCGACCCCAATGGCTGTAGTAACACCATTATATTTTCATGATAAAGATGTTTTTATTATTCTCAATGTTGATCAAAGTCTCTAGTCTTGATTTTGTATACAGGCGTACCGGAAGTGGGTTCGTGAACATTGGGAAGAACCAAGACTTCCTGGAGTGATGCTGACCAATGATCAGGTTTTCTTTATAAGCTATGCAAGGGTAAGGCTGGCGTTTAATGTAAATAAGAGCAAGTTTGACAAGATTCCAGTCTACAGCCAAATTTATGTAAAATTATGGACAATTTCTACGATTCAGTGCGTGCGCTAAAAACAGCGCGCCAAGGTTTGCCGTCCATTCCATGAAATTAAAGTTTGTATTGCTTACTTTCTTTACACTTACCACCGTTTTCCTTGATACGCGACTTTTCAAATCGAAACACCCGCTGAAACGTTTCCAAAATTTCCGTCAATTTCCGTCAATACACGTCATACCATATATGAAAGTGTTAATACCTCCACGCGCGACGGAAAGATGGCGGATTCGACAGATAGCTTCGAATTCACCAGTCAGTACAATGAAATGTTCGAAGATAGATCCGTCGAACTACCAGATTTGGAAGAAACACAAATATGGGATAGCCCAAACGTAAATCTGGATATTGCTGGATTATTTGTGTTCTGGTAAAGATTTCGAATCTTTTTTACAAACGTCTTCCCTACGTGAAGTAGTCTAGCAACACGTTCGACAGTAAATCCCTGAACGAGTAAATACACTACTCGCCAACGCAAATTTAACGAATAAATTGCCACCATGTTTACATGTAACTTCGACCGGCCGCCATATTTTAAATTTTCAGGTCCAGTCCAACACTTCCATATATGGTATGACGAGTATGATTGACGGAAATTTTGGAAACGTTTCAGCGGGTGTTTTGATTTGGAAAGTCGCGTATCAAGGAAAACGGTGGTGGTAAGTTCCCTACTACTGTACTCCTGACGTACATGTAAATTGAATGCCAATCCCTTATGTGTATTTCTAACCTAGCTGTTCTTTTCATGTACTTGTTTATTAACAGAACTGGTGCAGCCACTACAGCAAAATAGCTGCCGGAATTGCTACAAAATATTTTGATCACAGTCCTATGCCATGGAGGTATACTCTAGCAGAATATTACTAAGGCCGGGTATTCCGGTACAAATTAGTGCTTTAGGATAATCAACACGCTAAATGTTATTCTTTGTTTATTACTCGAATCTACTTAGAGATGTCAGTTTTAGTTTTACTAAAAGCTTGAGTAGAATATAAGAAAATGAGAGCCCCCTGTAATATACTCTCCAAACTTCCATTCAACTTGTTTCTAACTTCCCTAAGATCTCCTGAATTCGGTTCCATGCTATACTTACTCTTTTTTTGTGGCACAATCGTCACTATTCATCTAAGTTAATTAATGAGGAGGCACTTCTCTTATAGACTTATCTTTGAGGAATTCAGTTTTACGACATTAATTTGAGGATTCTCAAAGGGTGATTTACAGTCGGTAAACTATGATATTAAAACGAGAGAAACAGGGCTTACATAACTTTTACATGCCACCAAACGTTGCAGCGCATAAACCCTTGAGGGGTCGCTTGGTTAGTATTGTATTTTTCTTTTGTATTTGCAGGGTTAATGGTACATTGAGGAACATTCCGGAGTTTTCAAAGGCATTTAACTGCCCATTAGGATCACCGATGAACCCTATAAAGAAATGTAAAGTCTGGTGATAAAGAAGACAAAAAAAGATGTTTAATAGCGACATATGGAAAGTGAAGAGCAACAAAGAGGCCTACGCTATGATAATTTTTATCAGAGGCCGCAATAACGAACCCTAAATAATTTCCGTCACGTCCGAGTTGAAATTCGCCATGTAAAGCCCGGTTCAGACGCCGAACTTTTTATGAGCCGAGCCTAATACATTGAACTGATTAAGTACATGAAGAGTTCGGCGTCTGAATCAATCAGGAACACCTGTTTCAATTTGGAACAGCTCAGCCGTTCTTCCTGCCTAGCCCGGCCTGGAATTTCGACTATGCATCGACTTTGGACCGGCTTTGATTCAGACGCCGAACTTTTCATGTACCGAACCTAATGCGTAAATTATAACGTATTTTGTAAGCACTGTGAGTCGAAAATAATCACTTTTCTCTTTTTGAATTTAGTTCGGCTGGAATTAAGATCGGTGTCCTAATCAATCCAGCTGGTCTAAATGATTTAAGTCGGTTTAATTCGAATCAAGTTCGGCTCATGAAAATTTCGGCATCTGAACCAGGCCTAACAGGTGTCACTAAATTGCAAGCTCGGGTTAAAAGTCTACCGTTCTTTTCTTTTGTTGCCTGTTTTCTGTTGGTTCAAAAGAACAAAAAAGCTCAACCCCGGCGACAAGGCGTTTCACGGACGCTCGTTAACCATTTTAATATATTGTGTGTACAGTACAATTAGAAAACAAGCGAAATCCCAGTAAGGTTCATCAGCTCGACAAAGAAAAGTAGTAAACCTACAAACTGTATAAAAGAAAATACCACAAAAAAAGATAGACTGCTGAAGAATGAATTAAAACTGCACAAGAGCTACTAAATCAAAACCTTACCGCTCATATGAATTATTTGATTCATCTAGGGGGTTGAAATTCAACTCTGAAATTTTCATTAATTTTTATTATCTTTATATCGGCCTCAGAAGATAGTTGGTTTGCAAGCTTCGCAGGCCACCAGGTCCCAAGCATCCGTACTTTGACAAATGGAAATCTTCGCCATTCCGAATGGCATGGTATCAAACTTTGGGTTGCAATTATGGGTGAACAGTGACAGAGATTCGCGCTTCTTTTATGGTCTTTTTTATTGTTCAAGGTAAAGTGCCTGTATTATTCGAGAAACAAAGGTTGCGATTACCGTAGCCAGATCATCGACCGCGAAATTCAGTTCTTCGTAACCCACCGTCGCCTAACAGGTGCAGACTTAAGGGAGTAGGGTGTGAAAAATATATGCCGTAGAAATGATCTAACAGAGGAGGGGTGAGAAAATTTTTATTCAGACTCATCCCGAAATGTCAGCACTTAAAATGAACAAACAAGTTTTGAGGCCCAAATAACTGACAAGGCAAACGCCTTAACAGAACATGTTAGATTTCCATGTTAGAAGCTAAAAAGCCAGTGCAGAAGTTGGATACAGAAGTGAAAAGTTTAACATCCTATCATAGAAAGTTGTTTTAGATAAGGACGACGAAAAATTGACGTTAACTTTGGCGAGCCGCTTAACATGATTAGCCAAGTTTAGGCAATCCAATCCCCACAATGATTTCGGCGCACGCACTCATAATGAGTCGACTTTGGAATGGTGCTTACCACACAAATTTTCTCTTCACCGAAATTTTTATCGGTATAAGTTTGTTCTCCTCGAACTGTCTTACCTCGACACGTTCGGTACCCGCAGCCGACAAACAACTATTTCTTCAATTATCGCAGCGGCGGTAAGATATAAGAGGAGGAGAAGGAAGTGCTTCCTTGCATCGTTGTGAAGAATGAAGAATGTTAAGATTGCCAGGCTGAAATAATATGGTTTTTGTTGGGAAGGGCTGGATTAAATGTTACTACAAATGGTACTCTTTCAGATTTCTGTCTTGTGGATGTTTCGAGGGCGTGACTGGGTGGAATAAGGTGTACTTTGTTTATTTCTTGCTTCATGAAATGATATTTATATCCTTTGTTAATGAGATGTGTGGTGAGTGCGTTGAGACGTTTGTTAAACAAATCATCTGTCGAACAAATTCTTCTTAGTCGTAATGCCATGCTGAAAGGGATCGATGATTATCTGCAGGCTTGACATAAAAATCAATTTGTAATGTGCCGTTGATTAGTAGAACGTTGACATCACGAAAAGGGATTTCAGATTTAGAAAACGAACTAGTGAATTTGATTGTGGGATGTAGGTTGTTTAAGTACGTGATGAATTCATGTGATTTATCCTCGCCATCTTACCTGGATAACCTGGATGTGGACCCACATTTAGTGAGGTGGATTGCTGCCTTTCTCACGAACAGAAACCAGAGGGTGAGGGCGGGGGAGGCTCTGTCCCCACCCATATGGCTGAATGGCGGAACTCCTCAAGGAGCTTAACTGGCTCCTCTTCTGTTTTGTATTCTTGTGAACAGAATGGCCTCTAACTGTACAAATAGAGTTAAATATGTAGATGACGCCACAGTCATGGAATTTGTTCCCAGGCTCTCTCCTTCATATTTGAATTTTACTGTTTCGGCTAGTTACTCGTTTGCTTCCTCAAGGGGAATGGTTCTTAACGGTAAAAAAAGCAAGGAAAGGTGCATTAATTTTTTGCAGTATTGCCTGTTTCCGGCAGCCCCTCTACTGGTTGGTAGCTCTCTGATAGAAAAGGTTTCCTGTTACAAGCTGTTTAGGGATTCACTTTTCGGATAACTTAACATAGAACGAGCGTGTCACTCATGTTGTAAAGAAAGGGAGTAAGCGGTTATATGCAATACGCGCCCTTAAGAAGTGCGGACTAACTGATAGGCAGCTTATTCTTGTCTATTGTAGTATCATCAGGTCTGTTCTAGAGTATGCGAGCCCCGCTTGGGCTGATCTCACGTAATACTTAAGTGATCAAATTGAATCAATAGATGGTTTTCACTGTGACGTCATCAAATTGTAAAGTCAAACTAGCGAGGGTTTTCGAATTCTTCATTACACTAGGTTGAAGATAAACAAAAAGTTAATCTTTGTACAAGTTTCCATTTCCGTAGCATGTTTCGTTTCGAAAATACAGTAATTTGAACTTCCGAGTTTTCACGGTGCGTGACACCAAAATAGGAATGCTGTCTCGTTGAAAAAAAGTCTCTCCTCTTGATTTTCAGCAGTATAACCACTTCAAGTGTTAGAAGATATGTTTATGCGCACGTATGTTAGTTCTCAGGTGAAAAGAAAGAACTTTTATAGAAAAAGTGAACTCGAGATGTTTTTGTTGATTTCCGGCGGCCATACTGGTGCACCAAAACGGTGCACCGATATGGCGTCTCCATACAAAGCTCTACAAAGGTGCGTGAAACGTTTCGGCAAATAACTCAGAAACTGTGGGCCACAAAGACCTGAGACTTGGACAAATTGTTTATATATTAATGTTTTACAACATTTCATTTTCTTGGCTTCTTCCACTGGACGGTTTCCAATTTAATTTTTTGTTGCGTGACAGTGAAAACGATCTATACAAAAGAGGGCGCTAAAAATTATTTTTCCTTCTCTGTGCTAGTATGAGGACGCGCTCAAGAAATCAGGCTTAATTTTGCTGCGCCAGAGGAGGGAGGATGCGTGCATAACATTTTTCAAGCGAAGTTACTCTTCTTCCGACCTGCTACGTAACTTAGTGCCGCGAGTTGCGCACACAAGACCGTATGCCCTCAGAACAGGAATCTGTCTCCTCAAGAACTAACAGATTTGGAAATTTTTGCATCATCAAATACCAGAATTACGTTTAAAATAGCGAAGTGTGATATGTCTTAACATTAACAGTTATATTTACGTGTCATAATTCAGAAGTATTTGTATGTAATTAATGACCCACCTTGTAATTCAGTTTATGTTGCAAAAAGGTTGAATAAACGATCATTATTATTATTATTACCATAGAAGGAAGATGTCGTCAATATAACACCACCAGATAAGGGGGGAGTGGGTAGGCTCGGTTTCCGCCGTCTCCCGGGTCCGGTCTTTGACCCTCCCCTAAGAGAGACGGCTGGACGCGTGACCCGTTGATCTTGTCTGTGACGTAATTGGAAAATTGATCATTTAGGCGTCTCCGATGTCACTGAAAGTGAAACCGGTCTCCAATTTTCTTATTTATTTGGCTCAAAATTGCATCAAGCGCTCGCTTGCCCCCCCAAATGACTTTCGAAATAGTTTTTCGGCACATTTCCATATATTGTGAAAAATATTCTTCGGTACATTTCTGAACACGGCGACATGTAGTTAATTTTCTTTGATCTTGGAATGTTGGATTTCGTCTTCTGTGGGTCCGAACTGACTGATTCTCGCAAGCAGACCAAATTAAATGGAAAAGTTTCTTATTTACCAGACAGAATTTCCAGCGTATTGAATGTTCCTCTGTCAAATATAAAAGTGGACGGTTACATCTGTAACGAACGCAGTTATCGAGACCTAAATCGCTTTGAAAAGATGCTTGAAGATGCAAAATCTCTCCAACAACAATCATTAAAAGAAAAGTTCACAACAAACAATCGAACAAAAGGTTGTGTTCCTTCCGACTCTAGAATTTCGCCTAGTGTCTCCGCACCGTCGAAATCGCTTCGCCATCCGATGGATCAACGAAGGACTTTCTGTTTTGATGTGATAATTTCTGCGACAATCTTTGCCAGACGAAAATCTGCAGGCGGTAACATGATTGGCTTAAACCAACAAAGGAAATCGCACGCGTCCAGCCGCTCTTTCGGGGGGATGAGTGTGGGCTCATTTTCCCGAATAGCGGCTGGTAATCGAGCCTAGGGAGTGGGTTGCACCGGCTAGAGTTCGTTATTCAAACTTCCGCATAAAGAGATTGGCGTAAGAGGGAGCCATTTTTCTTATTACTAGGACGATCCTAGCGTTACGGACAAGTACAACCCTTTGCATGTAAACTGAATGCAGAAAACACATGGTGCTAGGATGATCCGCCTCCTGGGATCTTCCTCCCTTCAGTGAGTTGTACTTCTGTTTAATTACTCC